TGTGTGAGACCCAGTGAATGCATATCACCTCACACATACACACTGCAGTTCATTCTTAAACCCAGACGTCCTGTGAGTGTGGGATGGGGTGATCTGTAAAGCCACACAACAGGTATGATTTAAATTGGACTGGACCTGTGTATAGCGGAGAGAGAAGGGGGAGGAACACAGGCAGAGTTCACCTCTGTCCCATCTATCTGACTGCTGTAAAGTGGTGCGACAGCATGGCTGGTATTCAGACACGGACAGCGGCAGGCTGTTCAGAACAAGTCATGTCTCCAAAACTCCTCTCTCGACTTATTCACCGCTTGTCTGTCTGAGCTTCTCCACAGAAAACAATAGCGGTGGGAGGAAACAATTACTGTATTTTAAATTTTGGTTCAAGCATCAAAACAGGTTATCCTGACCTGTTAAAAGGGAGTTTTTCCTTGCCACTGTCGCCAACTGCTCATGGTGGGGAATGTTGGGTCTCTGTAAATTATTTTGCACGGTGTAGCCTAGACCTGATCTATATGAAAAGTGAGACAACCGGGATAAATTCTGTTATGAATTGTTGCATTAGAATTGAATTATCAGCTTTCAGAAAGTGCAGAGAGATGTTTCAAAGAAAGGAAAGCCTGAGCTATATGAAAGCACATCTTTTATCTGTCTGCCATGACCCTGCCCTGTCAGAGAATGTATGTTGGTGGCTGGGCGAGGCGTTAACCCAGGTGATGCCTTTGTTGACACGATATTATAATGAGAGTGGCCTTTCCACAAGAACAATGAAGAGTGCTGAGGCTCCTGGAGATGCACAGTGATGATCTCACATAAGGGAAGAGGTTTCATTTTGACCAGATAAATAACACGGACTGATTAAGGGGAACTGCCTAAACATGACACCATTTGAACTCAATTCATCTGCAATACTGACGCAAAATAAAATAAAAATACCTAAAGTTATATAAGAATGTAGTTTCAAAATGGGGCTTTAACTAACAATTAATTGACTTATCGATGAATGTGTACCTATTTTCTCTATTTCTCTCCCCATTTTCTTATTAGGTCAGAAATGTCAGAAAATGGTGACAAAAGCCCAAAGTCTTCATAATGCTCTTTTTATCCAACCCACAACTCAGTACCAAACATGTTCCGTTTGCTGTCACATAGCACACATAAAAGCAACTCCACAACTAAGAAGCTTTTAGTTGTTTAAGCTTGAACTGGTAGATAATCTTGTAAAGATTCATCAACCAAGACTTTAAGACAATGGGAACAGAACAACAATGAAAACATGTCACATGCAACTGTTCAGAAAGATATCAGCGCCAAATACAATATAATCATTAAAATCTATTCACAAGCATCACACCAGACTTCTGGATATCTTAAATTGGCCCCTCAATGCACTTTTTAAGCTGAGTAAACCATCCAGAGAATGGCATCAAACCAATTAGAACCCCGTTCCTGAGTCTCTCTTTCAAAAGTTTACTAGAAATTTGTTTAAATTTCTATTGAACCGGAGGACATCCAAATATCAGAACCAGTCATTTATGATCAGCTATTCTAATCCTCCTCCGATCACTGAGATTACTGCTGTCAGTAAGGTAGTACACGGTGTGGAGAACAAAGGGTCAATGTAAAAAACATGACTGGACTGGACTCCTGATGTGAGGGGCCAACATCAGTCAGAATATGAAATAAAAAATCTGGATTTTCTGTTGGGCCGTCATGAACTAACAACCAGGACATGGCACTTTCTGGCAAGAAAAACAACAAGGTTTTCAGAAACAATAAAAAGGAAAATGAGGATGTTGTGAACGCGCCATTTAAGCCGTTTTTATTTTTGTATCCTTCATATTCTTAAACTTCAGGTATATCTTAGTGTAGGAGAAATGAATAAGCTCTATCTCCTAAAAGTGAAGGGGAACATCCTCTTATGGGCTCTGAAACTGACACCTTTGGCTTCAGCAGACTTTCCCCAACCATTAAAGAACCATTTTGGACAGGATCCATCAGCCTGTGCTGCTGTGTTAGCTGGAGAACAACACATCCACATGGATATACTGGGGATGTGTGAGGTGAGAGAGGAGGGGCTCCAGTGTCATTGCTCATTCATGGCTTGGCCTGTCTGGCCATTTTGGTTGGATGGCCTTGTTCTGTACATGCCCATGCAAACAACAATAGAGGGGGATGAGGCAGCTATCTGAGCAGCTTCTTGCGATTCCCTGTCAACATCAAACGTGTCTGGTCTAACACAGACGGATCACGGGTCTGTGCGGATGCTATATGCAGTGATGGATCGAATACATTGACTGAACAACAACAGGATCAACCTTGCACCCCCTCATAGCCCCCCTTTTCCAGCCCGCTGTAATATGTGGCACACTAACCCATAATAAAGGGCCTCTAGAATATTAAATAGGCCACACAGCAAAATCCACATTGCACAAATTGTGCATGAATAGTTTTCTGAAATTAATTTTCAAAAAAATATTCATGCACAAGGATTTGGTGATTCGCCGATTATTTGAGGGGTCTGCCCATTGTTGCAGTCTGGTTTATTCGGTCGCTCTCTGCGTCAAAACCACCGTGCGACCACCCTGCTCCTTCTAGCAGTCTAGATAGGCAAGGATGTCTTCTTCGTCTTCACAGACTCGTTTCCTGAACACGAATGTAAAAAAAAAAAACTGAATTGTTTCCCCAATGTCTATTTTTTAACGGTTGTAAAGCATGATTTCCTACAACGGCTAAAAAAATATGAATGATGTAGTTTCACGTTCCTGGTAGGTATTTCATTCGCATGAACTCACCTTGACTATTCTCTACTGAGGTAACAGATATGCCAATATTATCTGCAGCCCAGGCATCATTTGCTGTGCGCTGCGAAACCATGGACACCATGGTCTGCAGCATTTTCTCCGGAGCAAAAAGTGATGTTTGTGCATCGATGGATCTTTTGCGTGCGCTGCTTAATCTGGAAACCGGCGCTGTTATTTGTTCTTTACTGGCTGAAATGATTCCCGTATCAGGTGCGGTGGTGGTGGTGGTGGTGGTGGTCGGGTCCGTTGTCAGAGGCTGGAAGGTGGTTGCATTTTTTGGAATAGGGCTAGTAGTGGTGGTCGGTCCGGCAGAAACAACGCCAGGCGACGGCGTGAGTCCGGCTAAAGGCCCGGGAGCGAACGTGCCCTCGGGTAAACTGCGAGGCAAGTCGGTGCGGAAGGTCTCCCCGGTGTCGGAGGCTGAGCCGGGCTTCCCGGAGATAGGCGACGCATCGTTGGGGCTGATGCGAGGTGCAGCTTCAGAAAATCCAATATATACATACAAAATAAATAGCAGGACCGGAGATATGTACATCATTAAGGACGTTAACCTCATATTCAGTTTCAGCTCTCCATGTAAGCCCCAATAATGGTCTCTCTCAGACCTGTCCCTGAATGAACGCGTACTCCACCATTGATGTCCCCCGGCGTCGTACGCTGCTGTTTGTTGCCCTATGAACCACAGTCAACACTTCACCTGCGATGCAGCCTAACACGAGCCACCCGAGATTGACGTACTTATTGGCCAATGGGAAGACTGCCTGTGGGCGCTCGCTCCTTCGCTGGTTGGACAGCGCCGTAACACCCTATGAAGACACAATATATTGTAAATTATCGAACGTCCCCACTCGTCTGAAAATTAGATGAACATAACCTGTTCCATTCATAAATTGAACTACTCAAATAAGCATGGTTTCTAAAGATAATGTAAACCTACATATACAATATAATTAAATGTTAGACGTCCACCTAACAGCCCAGATCATCTTCCAAATATAGAGGAAATGCCCGGTGGTGGCTCGTAGTAAGATGTTTTTAATGATCATTGGGCTACCTACCTTTGGTTTTGCTTGCAAAGTCACATACTTCATTGTCTATGGTTTCACACCTGAGTCTGTATGAAACTATCCTGAAAACACTCATTTAGAAAAAATAATTCATCTTGATTGATGGCTCGGTTAAATAAGGCAAACCCCTAAACTGTGAATGAAAGTTCGGCTTATCAAGAATTCTTAGGCCACTTATTTAATCTTTTGGTCACATCAGAACATTCCTACAATGTCTGGTAAGTGTGTGTTTCTCTCTGGTACATTTTGTTTACAAAATCAGTTCTTCAAAGTGTTCTACCCAAGCAATGAGAACTGGACTAGGGAATCTATTAACACTTATATGATGATATATGTTTCTGTATACTACAACATATTTGCGCACATCATATTACGTAACTGCGCTTCAATTTTAAAACATTTATTTTGAATGTCGTCACCGGAAGTAATGCACTGCCTTTGCGTCTGCCTTGATGCTTGTGAAGTTATAAACCATGAGAGTCAAATCATAAGCGTTTATTTCCCTCCAGTGCTCACAGTGCGTAGCGACAGTCTTGTTGAAAATGATACATTATGTTATGAAAATTATTTTTAAAATGTGGTAAGCTATGCTCAGAGACGGTTTGGTAGCCTATGTATTGATTCTTGGTAGGTTTGATGGCTGGCAGGTATGCGAGCATTTATAACATGGATGTGGTTTATAGTAAGTGTACACTGCCATCCGGTGGTTGTAATATGTAACTGCATCTCCGTTTAATGTAATGGTTTCATTTCGAATGTAGTTTCTAGAATTTTTTTAACAAGTTATTTATGCATTCTTCTATTGTAAAATCTTTCTAATCTGCTTTAATTCCACATTGAAGTCAAGGGCAGGAACGCTCAAGACAGATTATAAATACGGCCTTGACAACTGTTGACTCCACAAGCATCAAGTCAGACAGAACATCAGAGTAATACTTCCGGTGAAAACGATAAAAATAAAACTTGCGTGACGGCCAATATTCCACTCTTTATCATTGCGGAAGAAAGGAGACTATTTGTAATTCTGATTTTGAAGTTGCAGCTTGCGTTTCAATAGTTTATCTGTCACAAGTTAAACCGTTACCAAGTTGTATTCGTTAATACACCATGTAATACACACGATAGAGGGCAGTCGAGGGTGACGACCGTCTCCAACTCCGCTCAAGTGTTGCAGGAAGTTGCGCACGACAACTGGCTAGGTACAATGGCGCCTCTGGATTTGGATAAATATGCAGAGATTGCAAAGCAGTGTAAATACCTCCCAGAAAATGACCTTAAGGTAAATATGACTTTATATAAATGTTTTTGATTAGGACATGTGATGAGCGTGTAATGGTAACGTTAACTCACTGCTGGTTTATGTTGTAACAGCGCAGTTAGCTAACTGTCAACGTTAGCTTCAGTTAACGTTAGCTAGTAACGTTAGCCTGCTGACTTCATCTTTTGGCCAGGAAGTCAAAACTGTTCAAAGAAATTGTTAGCTAAATACAAGCCCAACTATCCTATACAATGTTATCGAAGAAGTATGTGTATACTGACGGTGAAATGACCAGACATCCGTAGCGACCTGCTGACGCTCACTGCTGTGATGGAGGGATGACAGCAGGTTGTTTATCACTCGGCTGCTGGTGGAGAGACTCCTAAGCTGTTCTGTTATTTATCGAAAAACTGAGACACACCTGGCTGGTAGACTGCGGAGTCGTGGACAGAATTGAGTTACACATTCAGTTACAATCAAGCGTTCATTAATAAAGTCGTATTTAATTCCTGGTCACACATTGCACTTTGACAGTAGTCGCACAGAAGGCTGTGGGATAATCTCTTATTGTTGGAAACTCTTCATTTAGGTGTGAATATGTTTATTTGGCCTGATGTTGAATATAGTTGCCGTTGCTTTTCTTCCTTGGAGACTTCATTTGCTATTATGCTAGATGATACCAATAAATGTAAAATTCTCTGTATTTGTATAGCGCCTTTCTAGTCTTTTCGACCACTCAAAGCGCTTTTACATCTGCATTTACCATTCACTCACATTCATACACTGAGCCTAAGTGCTGAAACCGAAACTAACATTCACTCACATTCATGGACTGGCGGAACAGCCAGGGGCAATTCGGGGTTCAGTATCTTGCCCAAGGACACTTCGACACGCAACCCAGGGGAGCCAGGCATTGAACCAGATTAACGGCCAACCCGCTCTACCTCCTGAGCCACAGCCGCCCAAATAAAGGCAGTATTAGAGTAAATGCGCCACAATATTTACTGTAAGCAGTTGGATTGTAATTTATTATTAGTTACTCAGGTAGATACAGGTGTACTCACTGACTTGAATTGACTCAGTGTCAACCACTGACCAGTCAGAATTATTGGCTTCATCTGTCCAATTGCTTTTGGTCCCCTAAAACTGCAGGGTTATGTATAAAAGGGCAGTAATTCCTGCACTGAACACCCAGTGTGAATGTGTACACCAAGACATAACTAATTGTTTTAGCAGTATTGCACTCAATCAAACACGAATCCATATAGTGGATGCCTATTGGTCAAAATCATTCCAGACCGATGCCCTTATGACCACATTATCAGACTAAGTGCCCATCAGTGAGCATCAAGTTTGCTTGTCTTATAAATATGAGTGTGGGTTTCTTTTACGTGCTTGGTTTTCCTTGTCTTAAATAAATGTTGTTGAATTTGAAACTCAAGATATGTTACAGTTGAGACTGTTAATACGATATATTCTACCCAGAACGAGGTGGACTGTTAAAGGAACTGCTACTGGTAGGTCGTCATTCCTGAGTGTTTGGGATGTTAGACAGTGCCAGTCACATCACAGATCTGTACCTAAACCACAGTTGCATTTACACATTCCTGGAAGTTTCATTGTCATTGAGCAGGTGTGGGGGGGTAACCCTGCTACAAAGAGCTGGTAACCTTAATACAATCTCATTATTTGTGACTGCAGAGAATTAGTGTCCCATGACAAAGTAAACTATGTTTCAGAGGTATTTCCCTGACTAGAAAAAGATTTGGGTGGAAACACTGAATACCTCTTGTTCCATCAGTCATTATACATATTTATGCATTAAATATTAGTGCTAAAGGATGGCCGAACCCTCATCGCTTCTGTATTTGTGTTGTGCTTTCATATCTACAGAGGTTATGTGACTATGTGTGTGACCTGCTGCTGGAGGAGTCCAACGTTCAGCCCGTTTCTACTCCTGTAACAGTATGTGGGGACATACATGGACAGGTAAAAACCAGCCATTCAAAGCAGGAAGCCCTAACCCAAAGTGCACCACAAGGAACACTCAGTGTACCCTAATATTACAGCAGAGTATAGCCTGCAGTTTACATAGCATGTTTAAAATGTAATGCCTACACTAAGTTTTTATCTCTTTGTCTCTTAGTTTTACGATCTTTGTGAACTCTTCCGAACTGGCGGCCAGGTTCCAGACACAAATTACATATTTATGGTTTGTATATTGAAATCAATTTGAACTTGTGCCTTATTCTGTGTAACCTGCATTTTTGTACAGTGTTGGCAATAACCCTCTGTCATCTGCAGGGTGACTTTGTTGACCGAGGGTATTACAGTTTGGAGACGTTCACCTACCTGCTGGTGCTGAAAGCCAAGTGGCCCGACCGCATCACACTTCTACGCGGGAACCACGAGAGCAGACAGATCACCCAAGTTTATGGCTTTTATGGTACGATTTGCTTTGTGGCGGATGTTGATCAGGTTTTGCAAACTGCATTGTCCCAAATCTCACCTTTCTGTTTCTGAAATAAATTAGTGCTTTTTTTTGTCTTGCAGACGAATGCCAGACCAAGTATGGGAATGCAAATGCCTGGCGTTATTGCACTAAAGTGTTTGATATGTTAACGGTTGCAGCTGTAAGTATTGAAGTGTTTTTTGATTATGTGTAGTTACTTTGATGATGTGACCTGATAATTAACCTTGACTGAAATCCTTGAATAAGCTTCGTGTTGGTTATTTTTTAGTAGACAGCAGCTGAATTACATATGAGTAGAGTTTTTTGGTTTCTGTAAAGACAGATTAAATGCTGTTCCTTTACCTGCATTGCATAATGTGATGCTGCTATCTGAGCTGCTTTAGGTGAACAGTCTCTACTTTCTCACTAATGGACTTGGCTCGGGTTCACTTTATAAGATCATTGGATTTACATAGAGATGGCAAAGATAGCACAACCTTCACGTTTCATTCCTTTGTAATGCCTTTGACACATTTTTCAGAATCGTCCAAGAAGCACGCCGCATCATACAGTAAAAATAAATAATTCAAAATATGAAGAAAATACTATTTTAACATTATAAGTAAACTTACTTTTCAGCTGAAATATGTAACCACTGATCACAGTTTGCCAAGTACATTTTTTTGGGAGCTATTTGTGGGTAATCTATCAGGTATCAGAGGGTTTAACAACATCTCATGTCATTTACCGAACATTACCTGTAAGTCATCTCTTATTCTACGGTTTTGACAGCTGATGGACGAGCAGATCCTGTGTGTCCACGGAGGTCTCTCCCCAGACATAAAAACTCTAGATCAAATTCGAACCATTGAGCGGAACCAGGAGATCCCCCACAAAGGAGCGTTTTGTGATCTGGTGTGGTCAGACCCCGAGGACGTTGACACTTGGGCCATCAGCCCCAGAGGAGCTGGCTGGCTCTTTGGTGCAAAGGTCACAAATGAGGTAGGTTTCTTTTACTTTAACTGAGTTGAGCTCACGTTAATTTTGAGTGATTTGCAGCGAGTACACAATGTCATGAACATTTAGGTTCAATTACAAAATGATCATCAACATCAGTTACAAAAGTAGCAAGGAGTGCGATGGTTAAACAAAAAGAAAAACTGAATTTCTGAACATGCAAAAATAAATAAACCTAACAAAAGGCTTCTGTACACCTTCATACACAAACATATTTTTTAATTAAATTTCACATAATTTTAGAAAAGATTTCTAAACCAAATAATCTTGCCTTCTCACACCAACTGTCAGACCAAGTGTCCAGTAACAGTAAAGACAATTTCAACGAATGCTTCTGAAATAAATTGCCTACCCTTGCTTTAATGTTATTATTAACACCTGTGCTTTTCCTGCTGTGATAAGTCAAAATGAAAAGCTGCAACAGTGGGAATTCTCATAATTTTCTGCACTGAATTGTGTTGGGTTTTTTAGGGAGCTACACCTTCAGTGATACAAGTGTGGCTTTGGGCCACCTGTTACTGCCAAGATGCAAAACTGAAAATAAGCACAAGTGCAGTTAAGACAAGCTTATAGTGAAATGTAAGAATGTTTCCTAGACTCCATACAGAACAGAAGTGTTGCTCTGAAAATCATAGATCATCTTCCATCTGATGGCAAACATGGTCACATGTAAACTGGTGGTGGTAGTCCAGTGCAGTAATAGCCCCTGCAAAATTCCACTTCATTAACCAATGAAAATAACAGGTGATGTGTGTTCATATTGACTGTTTTTTAACTTATTTGATCTTTCTCCCCTTCTTTCTGTCTTTCAAAACACTGCAGTTTGTTCACATCAACAACCTGAAGCTGATCTGCAGGGCACATCAACTTGTCCACGAAGGCTACAAGTTCATGTTTGACGAGAAGCTGGTCACAGTGTGGTCGGCTCCGAACTACTGCTATCGCTGCGGCAACATCGCTTCCATTATGGTCTTCAAAGATGCTAACACAAGAGAGCCAAAGCTCTTCAGAGCTGTGCCTGACTCTGAAAGGGTCATTCCACCTAGAACCACAACACCTTATTTCCTGTAAGAACATTAAAACTAAAACGGCGCAGCCATTTGTTCAGTGCACAGATACCGAGTGGGACAGTGACAGCAGCACTTATGACAACAAACCTGTATTAATTGAGTATATATACAGTATTTACAGTACATTTCTTGGTGCCAACTGTCAGTTGTTATTCCCCCCATTATTCTGCCGCTTAAATCATCCTAAGATTACAGCAAAGTATCACTGTGCTGTTGAAATGTTTTAGAGAAAGGGTTAAAATGGTGCAGAAGTCATCTGACCCTTGTAAAATGTTCATATTTATACATCCCCGTTTTACTTTCCAATAAACATTCAATCTGCTGAGCACATGGCAGGTGCAGTGTTATATACAATATCTCAATTTATTTTGATGTAGTAATGTATTAAAGCTCGGTGTAGGACAATGAAGCACTGCACAAAGGCAAATATGGCATCCTTTCTGACATATTTCAGTGGATTACACAGCTAATGTTATTATGTGGTCTTACAAAATATACATGTAAACTTGAGTTGATGTGTAAAAAGTTACTATATCTATCTGTTAGAAATTTCAGTATTGTTAAGTCTGTGGTACCTTAAAGGATCCTCTGTAATTTTCAGATTTGGAATCAGCTCTTGTAATTATTTTTTTTTCTGTCACCATACTGTTTTTAAATAAAGAAATATAAAAAACGTTAGACATCAATACCTGTGTGATTGGGCAAAAACACTGCCATGCTTAATTATATTTAACAACTTATAACATTGGGTAGTAAGTAGGGCTGGGCGATGTGGCCAAAAATGTTATCAAGAAAAAAATATGTATATCAGTCATTATCAATAATTATTACGATATACGTCAAGTCATTATTCTTTCGAGTTTAAAGGCTGATGTTTGCTTTGAAATTGAAGAAACCAGATGTTTAATTGTGGTTTTAAACTTTCCCTTAAGGTCACAACAAACATTAAAATGTCCCATTTCTGTTAAATGAACAGTTTTGCATAAAACTGAGAAGAACAGCATCAGCCACACTGTATAAATGCTTAAAGAATGATCAGGTTTATTAAGTACCCTCTAAATACAGATATTCTTTTGCCTAAGCCCTCCAGTAAGCATTCAATGCAGCCTCATGCATTTGATTGTTTGATATCTATACTTATAAACGTTTTTTATGAAGTGATTATTTCAATAGTTTAATTTTAGTAATGGCATGTAGACAGCAGTTAAAAAATATGCTGGATGTCTCGACCTGCAGGTGTGAAACTGCTGCTGTTACTTCTCCCGCCTCTAGGCGGCGCGTGTTGCTGCTACGTTCCCACACCGCTCAGTTCTTCTACCCAATCAACACAGGCGCGGCGGTGACGTTGACAATCATCTGTGTTGGGGATGATTACGTGTAGCTCACCAACTCGCAACAGCTAGCTTGTCAGACGAGAGTGGCCAGCGAATTCAGATCCACTGTTGCAACGATAGCTATTTTCTCCCAGTGTATTCAGAGGAAAGGCGAAGGTACAGTCATTGAGCACCCGAAAACGCCCCGGAATGATATTATGTCGGAATTGATATGGTAAGAGAAAGGCGACTTCAGTAAACGAGCAAGCTAACGACTGCTAACATCACCCGGTGGTGTTAACATTAACGTTAACTCTCATTGTTATGGCTAGAAGAGCTAGCTGGCTAGCTGTCTGTCAAAACATAGTCTGACAGTGTGATTGTACATTTCCTAATGGGACTGACAGTGATAAGACTCAAGTAATAAGAGATTTTACCTTTCAGGAATTTGTGACCTAACAACTCGTTGGTTAACGTTAGGATGAGTTAGGATGCACTGTACAAACTCAAAACCTGCTTTTGCTTTCGATGCAATCTAATTCTGGATGAACTGCATAATTCATCCAGAATTAGATTTCCTGCGCTCTATGAAAGTATGTCATACAGTAACCCAAACATTTTAAGAGCTTATATAGTGTACTTTACTCAAAAAGCATTCAAAAGGTTGTCATCTGCTCTGAGTAACAACATTATTACAAACACTGATTGTTCTGGCAGTGAAATCTCCTTCATCCATTTGTAAAGTACTTCCAAATTATATCAAGATTCTTTGCCAGAAGGGGCAAGATAGCACACCCATTATATGATAATGATAATGGATGCCAAATTGAGTGAGTTGATCTTGTTGGGCTCATCAGAACAATGTGACATGTGACACACAATAGCACACTGCTGCTTCTTCTTTTTCTAGATGTAGCAGAATGGAATCACCAGTACAAACTTGTTTCGAGGGGTACTGTGTAAGGACGAGGGTCTGTTTCAGTCCTCAGCACAAGGAGCCATAAACTCCATGCATCGCGTGAAGTCCCTTACTCTCCTGAAACAGAACATTTCACTCAAAAAGAGACACTGAAAGGACAGACATGTTTGCCAAGTTAAAGAAGAAGATCGCAGAGGAGGCGGCCACAGCACCTCGCAGTGGTGTTCGTATACCACGCACCATCAGCAAGGAATCCATCACCTCAGTGGGGGCAGATTCTGGGGATGACTTTGTAAGTACTCATCATCACCAGTCACTAGAATGCTACATCTTTGTGCTTATTTTAAAATTGTTGAGTAATTATCTGATAAATGGTAATTGAAATGAATTAGTAATGGTTAGGCTTGTTCATGACTGAGGAGAAACTAAGCGGCATTGTTTTTGCTGGAGGTTGTTTCTCGGCTATCGTAGAGACAAATCAAACTGTTACTGTTCATCTTTCAGCAGAATATCAACGTCATTGATTAACGTCGATGACTTAATTGGCCCCAATACCCGATCCAGCTATTTGACTCAGTATCGGCAGATAACAGTATCTTTTGTCTTTACTCTCATAGTTTTGTAAAATAAATTAAATATCTCCATACTTGAATTAACAGCGCACAACACAGAGAGGGGAATTTTTGCTCGGACCAGCAGAGCAGCAGGAATATTTCCAGCATATTTAATAAAAAACTGTTCTGTATTCCGATTTAATCTGTTTTTGGCCTAATAGGTCATTTATATGAACTGAGTTCTTTTGAACAAAGCATCTTAAATGTTTGTAGCTCATTTGTGTGTCCACCCTAGGAGGCAGCGTTGTGATTTTTAAGCTTGTGGTCTGAATGTTAGAGACACTCTGGCAGCTCCTGCTGGTGCTCATGGACATGGTCCAGCTGCATTTTAATCCCCTCTGTGGCACATCCCAATGTGCAACATCGCTGCCAAATGTGTAGATGTCATTAGTTTCCCATCTCTCCTCTCACTGATGTCAACAGAAGAATAAATTGCTGCATGGTGAGATAAATCATTTAAACTGATGTAAATTCTAAATACAGAATTAAAAAGCAATAAAAGGAAAATAGATTGAAACATTAGTGATCAAGGATGCATGTTCTTGTCATAGGATTTCTCACATGTCAGTTGTCAGTCTAAAGTAGTTCTAGGAAAGTCACAGAAAAGTTCTGTAATTTCAGGTCAGTGCTATGATTGGATCCCTGACTGGCTTTTGAAATAGTCACAATCAGTCAGTTGTAGGTAACACTTCTTGGGTGTGACGGACAGTAGTTTAGAACCGTGCTGACTTAGTGGGTTGGTCTCTATTGTATTGATTGCATGTAGGCAGGATACTTTGTTACTCAGTGTTAATACACGCTTTTCCTGTATTGTTTTTAAGAGAAATATTTTTGGAATACCTTGTACAGGAAATCCATATCTGTGGTAAAGCTCTGTTCATTGGAGCAAACGGGGGTGCAATCCCTCACAGGGGAAGCCAGACTCCTGAGGCTGTAGTGCCGTCTCAGTTGCACTTGGCTAAATTATTTAGTGACATTGCTGAGTAGCAATACAGCAAGCTGATATTGTGTTTCTGGTACAACGAATACTTGTCAGTGTGGATGCAGTTTACCCAGCTTGTTTGCATGACACTGACAAGTGGATCCTTTCTTTTCTGCTTCCATTACATATATTTTGTTATTCCTGCAGCTGACTAGCCAAATACCAATGATAAATCATACAGTTATTTGTAGTGCAACAGCAGTGCAGTGTAATAACTGAATGTCCTTCTGTGATCTACAACACTAAGGATAAACTTCAGGTTTTGGACTTGATACTAGGGAATTCCTGCCAGTAGAGCCATGATTCCTGCAGTGAAAGTAACAAGCCACCACTGAAATGCTTTAAATTCAACATAATGAACAGGATGAATTTTAAGTGCTACCTAATGCTGTGTGTGTCTTCAGGCATCTGATGGCAGCAGCTCCAGGGACGATCTGCCCGCCCAGCTCCTCAGAAGGAATGATCAGATCCGGAAGCTGGAGGCCAAGCTATCAGGTAGGCAGGCTAAGGTTATCGAGCTGGAGCGATTCCACCTGCAGCTCTCAGGAGAGATCAATACCCAAGATCAGAGACACTTAAACTAGAGATGCACCGATGAGCGAAATCGGACGGTTTTCTGGTTAATCGGCCGTGAAAGTCTCATATTGTGCAGCATGCACGTAAATTTCACTGCCAGCCAAATTTAATGAGAACAGTGGCGCAGTCTGTAATTGGCTACAGTCACAGCTCCACACACGATAACATGTCAACGTGAGTGAAGAAGACCCAGCGCTCACAATTAGTAATACCACACATAGACTTTATGTGGGCTGCCCGGGTACAGTCCCCAACGTATATTTGGCAGAGTTAGAGAGAGGCGTTATCTTACGTACGGACACAGGGATATTTTACAAGCACATACCAGGCAAAGCAACAGTGAACCCACCTCGATCGTTTCGTTAGGCTACATCATTAACAACAAGCCTCCTCCACATGTGGCTCACCTGCTGCTGTCAAAAAGTTGTCGCAAAATGGGAGTCGTGTTTATAAAACTGCTGAGGAATAAAGTCAATGAAGCAGACAGATACAGGGAGAGAGTCAGAGGTGCTCGTGTGTCTGCAGATTAAAGCAGTTTGTGACTAAACACTAAAATAAGACGGAGGATTATGTTTAAGCAAAATGGATATAACTAATAGAAATAGAGTAATGTATCTTTTTCAGATAAAATATACAAATATATTCTCCCCATCCCCCTTCTTTCCCTACCACACTTACACTGTCATTCTCTCTTATTTAAACCCAAGTGATGCACAGGACTGTAAGTGATAGAGCCGAACATGTTAGTTAATGAAATCACATCAGAATTATCAAACTGCCAACTTGTGAAGTCCTCTCATAAAGGCTGAGGCTGATGCAATTGCAGTGATAAATATTTAACACTGTATTATTTAATAAAAAAAAAAAAATAGAAGCTATTATACTTTGCCTGCATCTCTTTTTTTCTCTGCAAACTACAGTCACACCCACAACAAATAAAAGCACTTTAGCTTAGAACTGGCAGACCATGAGAACATTTATATTGATAGGCTGTCTGACAGCACCCGTATAAACAAACAAAATTACTTTCTAGACTAACATGATACACATTATAGACAGAATATTGGATTAAACACTAGTCTTGGTAGTGGAGCTTGAATGCCTCTGGTCTATGAGATTGACACCAGCAGGTCAAACAGACTATCTTTGTCAAAGGGAATATGACTACCGTAGATCCCGTCCGGAACCAGTTTGAAAGCTGGGATATATAACTGTGAGATTCTGTCTTGTAGTGTAAAGCAAATGACAAGTTATCACTGACTGTCACTGAGCAGTTGATGAGCCGGACTGATTCACTTTCAGTTAAATTCTGTTCAGTTTGTTTGGATATGCTGTTTTTGCCCGAGATCCGGATTCTTATCTTGAGTGAGTCAATCTCGCAGTAAGACGTTGAAACTCTTGTTAAACATTTAACAGTTTGTCAATGCAGGTTAATTGTGATACTGTTAAAACTGCTAATTATTTTTCCTTTGGCTTTCACTTCCTCATCCATCTAAATGCACCACACCGTTTGGAAGCTTAAGCTCTGGTTGCCTGGAAGAACAGTGTGCTCTTCCTGTTTTTAATTTAAAGCAGAAAAGTGGATTTCTATAAACCTGACCTGCATCTACATGTTGAAAAAAAGCTGCACAGAGAGTGTTATATTCATTTGTTTGTCTTTTAAATTGTGATTACATTAATGTCTCAGAATGAATGACTATGATAATGTTGGTAGGGTGTATATTCAGTGGGACAAAGTCTACCTGGTTTTGCATTTATGGTGTTTCCCCCCAGTATAAAGGCTCATCTTCCTCTTGCAACCGCAGAAAAGGTTAAAGGTCGCACATTCTCATGCAGCCTTTAACCAGTATGGTTTTCTCACATAAGAAAATCATTAATAGTTTTACCTTCCATTATTTCTCAATCATGTTTTCCCTTTTGCTTTCTCCCTCTCCTTCTGTTCACTTTCTCTCCTGCCTTTCTCTTTACTGTCATTTGTGTGTGTGGTTGTGTGTTGGGGTGTGTGTGTGTGTGTGTGTGTGTCTATGTACTGTTGACACCCCATCCCATCACCTTACTTCCCAACAATAGACTACGCTGAGCAGCTACGAATTATGCAGAAGACCAAGGACAAGCTTGAAATTGCATTAGAAAAGCATCAGGATTGTACGTACCTCTACTCTACTCCCAGTTACCTTCCTTTCTCTCATCTGTCTGTCGGCTGTAATAACCTTCGCCTAGTGTGTCATCACTTCCCGAAGATCATTTTTTGCCGCAGATGCTAATATAATGGGCTTTAGAGGTTTGCTTTGGGTGCGCTGAATGCTTTCGCCCTTTTTATCTAAAAATCCACCCTCAGATCTTTTTCAGCACGTTGAGTTCAGAGTTCTGCATACATTGTCTGTTACTTTGTACCTAAAGATGTGATTTGAACTTGAATTCAGTTGGATATATATGCATAAGAAACAAAGACTGCATTAAATAAATATAGCTCACTAGCTACTTGAGCTACGGTTATGAACATTACTGCAATGATTGCAGCCACACAGATTATTTTAATATCAACATTTTATAGCTGATATTTTATAGCTGCGTTGCATTCTGGTCTGTTGACTTACTGCCAGTGGAGAAACTGGCTCTTATCATGGATTTGTCCTGCTGTTTTTAATTGTTTCCACAATATCACTGTGGACTGTCTGTCCAACGCTGACGAATCATACAGTGGATATTTATGGTCCTGAGGATGGATTCTAGTGTGTTTGGTGACCTTTTTGTTGAAAGTTGGATTTTATGCTCATGAAGTGTCACAGTCTATGCCCTAATGTCCACTGGACATGGCCGTGTCCCATTCAGGCCCTGTCATGGCTGCCGCCGGTTTATTTTGGTGGTGTGATTCACTATGTGAATGTACATTATTGCCTATGTTGATCAGTTGGCATTAAATTAATGTTTACCAATGGGCTTTATTTGTTATTGACTTTGTCTTATTCTTACAGAATAGTTTTTAAAAATGCAGTGTTGACAAATCAACTGTAAACTGTATTCAAAATGTGGTTGCTGAAGAACAAAGCGCTTGAAGACACTCTGTTTCCAAAGTACTTCAAGCACACATTGGAACTACAGAGTGGTAGCTCAGCATGAAAATGACACAACTGCATCCACTGGACATGAGGTGGCAATCGGCTGGTTGGCATGAAATTTGCAGAACACGATCATGTTCTTCAGAGGATGAACCATTTCCCTTTTTGGGCACTCCATAAGTCTCTAGTGCCACCATCAGGCCAACGTACCAACTTGTCTGTTAAAATTTCTCTTCTTAGGCATGAACATTTTTGATTTTAATGACCCAGCAGTTTTTCCCTTAGTGCTTCTCTCAGAGCTGACAATAGTCCAATGTTGTTGCTTCTATCTTGTACTTAAGTATTGTGAGTTGTAACGCAGCTTCAAGCAGAGGTAGACTTGGGTGGATTTCTTTCTTAGTTCACACACATATATTGCCGTGTTAGCTTTAACAAACGGTGTTGTAATTGTCAGCTGCCATGCATCGCTTGTCTTTGCCTGTCTTTGCTTCTGGGATGAACACTTCTTAATCTGACTCTAACCTTTCACAGCTACTAATGGTGCCACTGTCTGTGCTATTTAATATTTCTGTTCTCTTTGGTTGCATACAAACCTCTCTGTATGGTTTCCATCTTTCCCTTTCTCTGTCTCTCTCACTTTTGCCGCCCAGCATCCATAAAGAAACTTCAAGAACAGAACGAGTCTCACCAGGCCAACAGAGCCAAAATGGCAGAGGGGATGACTTTAGCACTGGAGAAGAAAGATCAGGTAAATGTCACTCACTTATTGTACTGTTCTGTTTTGTGACATGTGTACTTATCTCTCTTTGTATCCTTTAACTGCAGGAATGGATGGAGAAGATGGCCACTGTGGAAAAGGCACGTCTTTAAATTGGTCACTTATACATACATACACTATATATATATATATATATATATATAATAAATAATATAGTAATACACTATTTTATGATGACATCTTGAAGTTTGACTGTACTGGACACCTAACAGAGAAAATGGGTGCTTTCACACCTAACCTGTTTTGGTCGGATCAGTTGAACCCTGGCGTGTTTGCCTGTTTAGTTCCGTTTGTTTGGGCTGGTGTAAAAGTTGTCTATTGAAGTCTAGTGGGGACTAACCAACTGGACTCAGACCTCTTGAAACAGAGGGTCGTGGCCTGCAAGAATTCAAAAACTTTTTGCTGACTATGAAGTGTTTAGAAAGTAATCTCCTGATCTAGGCTGTATGCGATGAATAGCCTATATTTCTGCCAGATCACTTGGCAAGGTAACACATCTTTGTATTACCACATTGCATTTTCCCTCATACTGTGTGTCAGAAAGTGAAAAGCACTAGACACACTAAAAGTGTATTGTTTGTAGTGTTTGGTTCCTGCTCCGTCTTAGTTATTAATAATTATTTCCTTGGTCGGGATCAAACAAACCAGATTTCAGGTGTGAAAGCACACTTAAATTTGGCTTCTTCAAACCTGCACATGTCCTGAAAATGGACACATGTATGTGTACACTGGTATAATATAACAGTTGTGTTTATTTAGGACAAGGCTGCCCTGTCAGCGCAGCTAGAGGAGATGATGCAGCAAAGCTTAGTTCTCTTCCAGAAAAGGGATGACCTGGATGAACTGGAGGGCTTTCAGCAGCAGGAGCTCGCTAAAGTTAAACACATGGTGCGTACATGCAGAGTTGAATGGTTGGATTTGCAGCATTACTTAACAACAGTGATGCAGTTTGCCACCTTCCTGTTCCTGTCATGTTGTGATTCAGTTGAACATTGGAGATGAGCTGGAAAGGATTTTGGAAAGGATGTGAGCCTCAGTGCAGGATAGGAAAGTCTCTTTAGCACTGAATGTGTTTGAAAGCACTTAAGTTGTTGAGGTGTGATTTGATTTCATCTGGGTTCATAGAAGCACTTTTTTTATTGCGCAGTATGTTCTTTCATTATGACATATTTCCCTTTAATGTTTGTCAGTTGCTGAAGAAGGAGGAGCAGCTGAGCCAGCGGGAGCAGGAGCTCCAGCAGAAGGAGGCTGAAGTTCAGTCAGCAAAGCGAGGGCTGTCCGAGACTCGGGGGAAACTCAAGGCTCTGGAACAGCAGTATGAGGAGAGCTGCAGACTCAACTCTGAGTTTGAAATAGAGCGGTAAGAAGGAATGCAACGGGCAGCAGTATGTGATTTTTATGATCATATAAATAGTCTGATGAAAAATGGTAGCTTTATGGAAAATGAGAATCTGTTAAAAATATAATTCTCAGCAATTACATTGGGGTTCCATCTGCTAACTTTAAAGTGAACAAATCTAAAAAAGAATTCAATATACACCCTGCTCTATGAAATGACAAGTTTGCATTTGTTGTTGAGCTATGATTTTTGTGAAATGCCACGGGAAGACCAAGTGCATGTCATTGGATCTGTCCAGAGAGGAACTGCTGCTGCTCAGAGAGGAGGCAGACAAGAAGATCAGTGAGCTGGAGGGACAAAGCCAGGAGCTGCAGGCCGTCATCCAGCAGGTCTCTGAAGACTTCCAGAAGGTCAGTCCTGAACACAAGCTGCACTCTACTTCTTCTTAACGAAGTTAGTCACTATTCATTCATAAATAATTTGTCAAGGCAGTTGCCTGTGAATCAAGCGAGTATGTGATACGTGTGTTTTTCAGTCACAGAGTATGGTGTCATCTTTAGAGAGGTCCATCCAGGAATTACAGACTGAAAATGACGCCCTGAAGTTGCAACAACAAAAGGTCAGAACATAATCAAAGTGGGGCTTCATCCAAGTGTATGATGTAAGAATACAATCCATTTTATAATATATAAGTTTGGCACCACATTGTGAATGACATGTCTTTGACAGAATATAGAAATAGTACAAGTAAAAACAAAATAGTCCTAAACTTATTTGTAGTTTTCCACTTAACTTCACATTTATCCATGCTGTTGCCATCTGTGATGTAGAACCAAAAATATTCTTCCACGATTACTTTTCACATGCTTAGTGTTGTTGTTCATTGCTAAGAAGGGTTAGGATTAGGGGTTAGCATGGTGAGCGTCACTGTCCTAGTTTACTGTATGTATGCTGGAGTACCATTAAACTAATTCAAACAGTCTGCTGTGCTTGTAGACTGAGAGTTAGCTCTTTTCCCACATTTTAACTATTTTTAAAATTTGATATCAAAATTGACTCCATAGTACAAAATATCAGTAATAATATGGTGTTAGGGTTTGATATCATTTGAATTTTATCGATTCCGATTCTTCTCATCCAATCTGGTTGTTATCAAATCCCAGTTTCAATTCCAGTTTGGTAATAAAAAAATGTGAAATGTTTTGATAACAAAAATATATTTATTCTTTTAAGCGTTTACTTTGAGTTGTATTGTTTCATTCTTTCAGTCTTTTTTACTGCACATTCACATTGTCAACACGTTTAAAAGACTAACAGCTAATTTTTGGATTTGGTTCTTATTTGGGACCGGTTTTCACTTCTGAACCCTGTAATTCAGAATGAGAATGTATCCAAGTCAGGGAAATATCTGTGGGGCATTCAGGAGATAAAAGGGGATAATTTAGAAAAAGAATTTAAAAAGAGAATTTAAATAATTATAAATAATAATTGACTTCCAGAGAATTGAACAGAATATATCAGCCTTTTAGAAAAACAATAGTAACACATTGAAGAATCTAGTTAAACGGTTTGCTAGAAGTCTGTGAATGTCTTCCCTTGACTTTATCAGGCTGCTGTAACGGAGGAGGACAAGGAGCGCTTGTTAGGGGAACTTCAGAAGAAAGTGACTTCTCTGGAGAGACGGCTGCAGGGCAACCTCAGCCAGGACGAGCATCTGCAGGAGCTTCTCCAGGAGGTGAAGAACATCTAGAGCTGGTGCTTAGTTCAGCCAGTGTTGGCTAGTGGTCAGTCATTTGTGGGCCAAGACCAATTATCCATTTATCAACAATAATTCAATGATAATTGAATAGGGATTCATGTTGTGCATTAAAACTAATAGCTAACATGTTAAGCTTACCTTTACATGTCTTTTATTATGACTCTGCCCTGTCCCTGTTCTAGGGAATGATATTCCGACATTGTTGGAAATGTGTTAGTTTGCAGTGCAGTTTTTGCCTTTTCAGAAGTCTAGCCTGGAGCAAAGTCTGGAGGAGACCAGAGCAGAGCTGCTGGCAGTTCGGACAAACCATGCTGATACTGTCAGCTCTCTGGAGGCACAGGTAAGCCAGTGCATATATTCACTCAACCCTGACTTGTAAAGTCCCTGCATCTTCTCCCTGCAATCTGCAAAACCACGATTATACGTGGATACAATTTCTGTGGATTAAGTAGATTGATAACTGCTGAGGTATTTACTCATTGTGCTAAATTAGCAAACAGGTCACCATACAACATTGATGCTGTTGCAGCTTTCAGGTGAATAAAAAGAGACTATAACAAAGTGTTGACCTGACAACAATATGTGGCTTCCCTAACTTTCTTAGAACAGGCTAAATTGTCAAAAGGAAGAATTGTGTTAGTGAAGGCAATAAATCAGTGTGACAGAATGCCCCTCCAGCTCTGTCCCTCCTGTCTGACCTCAGGTATCCAGAATGAGTTGCAATATTACTGAGCTGCAGACCCTTCTCCGACACAAAGACGACTCCTCCAGAGCCTACAGACAGAGAACAGACACACAAGTAAGCAAACGGACAAAGTACTGCAAGAACAACAGATAAGAAAGGAGTCGAGTTTCTCTCCATGTGCATGGTTGACTGGCAGTGATTGAGTAAATCATGATTTTTAGCTCCACAGTTTTTATGCCTCATATACATTTACATTGTTTGGATAATTATGTCTTGTGGAACATAAACAGAAAACTTCTTATGATTTCATTGAGTCAGCTCAAAGCGGCATTAATCAACTTTAAAATGCCAAAAACGTGTCTAAAGAGACATGTGTTTCATTGGATTTTAAAGTTGATATAAAAATCTATTCAAAAGCATTATATATTAGATATTAATTGTAGATCTGTTATCAACTAGAGAATCTGGAATCACATGGTTACAGAGGCTAAGGAAGCGTACTGTAAAGATTGTCTGACAGCTGACAACAGTAAACACTTGGCATTCTGGCTGAGCTAACTTTAATATGTCTGCTTCTTTACCTGGTCACTTTCAGTCATTGTATGTTTTCTATTTCAGATAGCTAATCTGGAGCAGCAAGTCCTAGAGAGTAGTGATAGACTGAAGAGTTCAGAGCAGCAGATCACAGAAAAGCAACAGTATATGGATAAACTGGTGAGTACCACTACAGTCAATAGCACAAAATGAGTCCAAAATAGGCTTGATATTTCCTAAAGAGGCCGTTAGAGTAGACAGACTTGGCACTGACCCTATGATCGTCTGGTTGGAGGACATACTCTTAGCCCATGTCAGGTATAATTCTCAGCCAACTGGGAAAATGGCCTCGGAAAATAACATATAGAGCTTTCCTCACCAAAAGTAGAACTAGCACTTCCCTCTATCAATTATTGGACAGTAATCAGTAAATGCTTAATCATTCAAAGCCTGTTAAAATAAATTGCATATTTTTAATCACAAATTCACAAGTTAATTATTTGAGTTAAATGAGAGTAAAAATGTCTGCTTCTGCTCCACATGTTATTACTCAAAACATTTGCAAACAATATTCCAAATGTCAAACCAGTTTGTAGGATTTAATTCTTTACTTTGGTGTAATCTGGTGTTAGTATAAAGAATAACAGTTGCAGACACCAATGTGCACTCTGTATTTGTCATTTCAGTGCAAGTATTCAGACAGTGAAATTAGTTTTTTACAGTCTTCCTGGCCATGAAGCACCACTATGTACAGAAAATTAATCAGCCGAAAATAGCAAATATAGTGTGGAAACATTTTTAAAGTGTCAGAGAAAGATGCAAAAATTGCCTGTTCTGCTGAATTGTCTCCTAGCACATGCCCTCCATCTGTTGCTGACTTCTTAGAAAACACAAAAAAACGATCTGACCCGCTTTGAGTGTTTCTGTCACTCGTTTCTGAGAAGATGATTAAGCTAACCGCACCTACATTTTGATTGCACACGTATTCAAGCCTTTATTGTAACTGAAACAGACCTGTGTGAGCTGACAGGCAGGCTAGACACTATCCTGGAATTTTCTCTCTTTACAAAGACAAGTGTTGCAGAATGAGAGTCCTACCTGAACAGAGGCTTTGAAGTCTTCATGTTACACGATACGAGAACCACATACAACCTTATTTATCAAATTGGGTCGGACATGATGAATTTAGCGCGAGGACACACGTGACGACGTTCGGTTTTCAAAAAAAGGTGTCTATACAGGATAGAAATAAGATTAATTGGATTACATTCGCAGAAAATAAAATATATGACGTGTCTATTAAAAGTAAATGGATACATGTAATTTACTTTATCGGACCCCCTTGGGCCTTGGACCCACCCACCATAGTCTCTCCAAATCGTGTGGGAAACGCTGAGTAAAAAGCACATTTTGACTATTTAATTTACGCAATGGTAAAAAAAAAAGAAAACTGCAAAAATGTGAATGTACTTTTTCAGTCCCTACCCAAGCGGGTGGTGATGGCGCAATGGGAAAGACACATGCCTTTGGTGTGACCCATCCACTATTGTGTCCCTGAGCAAGACACTTAACCCCTAGTTGCTCCAGAGGTGTGCGACCTCTGACATATATAGCAATTGTAAGTCGCTTTGGATAAAAGCGTCAGCTAATCAAATTGAGACAGCTTGTGGGGCGGCTGTGGCTCAGGAGGTAGAGCGGGTTGGCCGTTAATCGGAAGGTTGGCGGTTCAATCCCTGGCTCGTGTCGAAGTGTCCTTGGGCAAGATACTGAACCCCGATTTGCCCCTGGGAAATTCCGCCAGTGTATGAGTGAGTGTGAATGTTAGTTTCCGTTTGAGCACTTAGGCTCAGTGTATGAATGTGTGTGACTGGTGAATGCAGATGTAGTGTAAAAGCGCTTTGAGTGGTCGAAAAGACTAGAAAGGCGCTATACAAGTACGGAGCATTTACATTTACATTTAAATGAATAAATGTAAATGTAAATGTAAATTGACCACACAAACCATTTAAGAGTGGCGGGGCTATCTAAAATGATAACACACCCTCAATCCATCATGCTGATATCATGAGACGGCTTTTCACCTTGATGAGAATATTTTCATATTTTAATATCGTGAGATCTCATCTCATCTTGACTGTACTCTTTGTAATATTAGTTACAGATACCCAACTATTCCCGCTAAATACTTTTAATATAAGATATAATGTCAATTGTGAGTGTCCAATCACAATATATATGATCTAATACAATAAGCTATTGAGCCACAGTGTACCCATTTGTAACACATATAGCATTTAAAAGAAAGATATGACATTGTCCACGTGTACTCAAGTCCTTTTTGAGGGACACTGCTAATTTTCAGTCTTGTTAAAATCAAATGAAGGTGGGTTTTTGTATGCGTATGTTTAACGATGCATTTGTATGTATGTTTTTTTTCAGCAGGGAGAGTGGAGTGCAGAGAAGGCCTTTCTGGATCAGCAGGTGTGTTTGTTACAGCAACAGAGTCAGGAGAAGGCCAGCCGGCTGGAGGAAAGCATCACGTCTTTACAGACAGAAAGACAGATGCTGCAGGAGAGGGTGGTATGTTCTGCTTGTCATTTTCAGCTCTTTTTATTTTTCAAAGATGTATTTGTAATCTATAACACTGTGCAGTAGTCATCCTGTTACACTGAGGGAGTGGGTTAATCGCTGTATTTCTTGCAGTGAAGAGAGAGCGCAGTTTGCTCTATGTTGACTAATACTTTCTCGTACCTGTTTTTGTGTGCAAGGCTGATCTGGACAAGCAGAGGGACGAGACAAACGCCACTCTGAGGCAGCAGACAGAAGAGCTGGAGCAGTGCAGGGTTAGAACTTCAGAAGATCATATGCTCATAATCTCTGTTCTATTTGGCATGTTCTGTATTTTTAAGTAGGAACATGTAATGGAAACAATCCATCTATTCCAACCAGTTTTCTATTTTGTAGATGTATAGAGCAATAATGAAAAATTGGTTACTCAGCTGTCTTCACATAATATGATATAGCTTCACTGCCATATGACAAAGCCAGAAGCTTTATACTTAGTATTGAACATTCACCAATAGAAATATAGAGGTCTAAAGACTCAAAAAGATGATGACTCAAGAAGATAATTAAAAAAGGAGTGTATTTGTCACTCTTGTCTTAGTCTTGGTGTGTTCCCACAGGCGGAGCTGAACAGCCGGCAGACAGTAAGCACAGAAATTGCCAAAGCTCTAGAAGAAACCAGACGGCAGAAGGAGGAGCTGCAAACACAGGTCTGTGGGCAAACACACTTCTTGCAATATTCACAACAATACAAAGGCAACACCTAACATGGGGTCCCTCACAAATGATGTAGCAATCTTCCTGTGGACCAGTCACAAACACACTTATTCCTTTGTAGGAAAGAAAGAACAGAAGAGTCGTTATTCAGCGGACTGCGCCTTTATTTTAGCACTCACAGATTATAAGACAATGTAAAAAAACAAAAAAAACAATCAGAGCTGGTTGTCATTCACATGTACTTTGTAATGAAAAGTGGTTGGTTTGCTTGTTGTCAGGTTGCAGGGATGACCACATCTCTACAGACCTCACAGCAGGAACTGTCCACTGTCAGTGAGAAGCTAGCACTGAGAGAGGAAGACATCAAAACACTCCAGAATGGTACAAGCACAAACACGCCTGAATTTCTTGTGCTTCCATTTTGTAATCATGAGTCTTCGTTCTTAATGTATTTCTTCTTTGTGTAACAGTAGCAAAGCGGTGGATCATGTTGTTATTATATATTGTCTGTCAATATGTCTGCTAACTTTTCTTGATAAGTCTGTTTTTTTATATCCGGGTAAAAACTTAATATAGCAATGTGATCTGTGGTAGAGGTGTCAGGTACATATACAAAGGAATCCTAATCAACTGAAAATAAAATAAAGAAAGCTGTGAATAGTGCACTGTTAGCAGCTTTGATCTATAAATAGTGGTAATGACATTTGAAAATCCATATTGTTTAAGTGTTCGTACAGGGAGTAGCCAAAATAATGCACCTTAGAAATGGACTTATAAACACTGCTGTAAGGATAAATTGGCTTTATTAGTCAGCCTGTCGCTCTGCAGAATTTGTCCGTATAAATGACATCTAATATTTAATATATTGGATTAGAATTTTTTTCAAATAAATTCAAATGTTGCGTCTTGTGTGTGTGTTGCAGAGGTGCAGTGTCGGCAGGCATCACTGGTCCAGCTGCAGGAGGAGGTAGAAAAACAGCGAGCCCAGCTGGAGCAGATGGAGCTGGACAAAGACTCCCAGCTGATCACCCTGAGGGAGGAGCTGCTCAGCCAGACACAGCAGCTAGATAGCTGCCAGGCGCGGGTTAGCATCTACACACAAAGTCAGAAATACCTAACCTTGCTCTTTGTACACACAGTAATGATGCAGGATTTAGGATTGGTAATTTTTGTTTTCAACTGTAATAGTTGTTTTGTTCAAGTCACCAATCTTTCATAGCTCATTATTGACCTGTCACCTGCCCATCACACTTAAAAAACATTATTCAGGGAAGACCAGTGTTCCATATTTGGAGCTCCGGCTTTAAGGTGGGGTACCACAACTAATAAATGATACAGAGCGAACAAGGACGCAGCAAGTAATGTAACTAATGTTAGCTTAGTTGTGGGTTAGCTGCTGTGAAGCTAACATGCAGAGAGGTCAAGATGTTCCCAGTGCAGCACAGCAGCTCTAGACAGTGATACTCACAACTCTCCTGCCGCTATAACATCACAGCAACAGCATTTCTTGGTGAACTAGAAATTAAGCTGAATGTCCGTGGGTTATTTAACAGTACTGACACAAAAACATGGCTGGAACTGCTGAAATAGTGTTTGTTTGTTTCCCATAATGCATTTTTCAGTGCACAGACTGAACAGACACCCTTGTCACATAACCCACCTTAAGACTTAACTTTAAGTTTGACCTTAAAAACATTCTTATCATATATTTCCATTTGGGGGTTGTACTGTCCATGTTTTCCCACACCTTCATTGTGGTTTGGTATGTGTTGCCCAGATCTCATACCTGGAGGTGGAGGTGGAAACCCTGACAGAACAGCTTCACAGCCCTGAAGTGTGCGAGGAGGATCAGAACGGCAGTGTGACGGTGGACGATCTGGATCACCTTCAGAAGGTCAACAGAGAGCTGGAGCAGCAGCTCAGCGATAAGAACAGGGTCAGCTGCCGTCTTACTCCTATTCTGTTGTTCCTCTAGCTTTCAATGAAATGTACAGACCCATCACTGCACATAAAACACATTGGTATTGTTTTGCAGACCATCAAGCAGCTGCAGCAGAGACTGGCAGAACTGAAGAGGACGCTGCAGAAGGAACTGGTGAGACATGTTTACTGAACAGTTCTTGATAAGGGAACTAATCAACCCTGTTCTTTTTATAACTGGAGAAACAACTAAAGGAATCAGTGTGATCTAGAATAGAAGTGTTAAGTACATATACAAAGAAATAATTTATCAACAAAAGTGAACTGACTATACTGACTCACCATTGACCGAATCTGTAACTTTTAGCAGTGGAGCTCACTAGTGACTGTAGAGCTCTGTTGTCCGCTCAGCTGTGATTCACAGTACGTTACTACCACCTTAAAAGCTTATTAAAAGACAACGGAACTAACTCAGTGGTCAGTAATAGGCTGCTTAGCTGTTACCTCGTGCAGTGCTTCTACATGAACTGAACTTAATCAGAATCGGCACTGAACGTTGGGCTGTATGAGCGCTGCTCTTCATGCTGAAGTGCCTTGAAATGGTGATGCGACTGCTTAGCTTAGAGAAAAGTAAACAAAGTACATAGTGATTACGAATCTTTGAACTGATTGATTCATGATTTCTACCTCTGTCCTGCTTTTTTCTGGTTGCTATGCTGCTATGAATGCAAATTCTCCACTTATACCTGCGGAAGTAATTCCAATATAAATACATTTAAAAAGTTGCACATACCTCATTGACATAAAAAAATTATCAGACTAATGGAAACTTGAATCACATGTCGTCACTCTATGAAGGAACTGTATGATATTTAACAACATGCAATTTACCTTTCACTTAATTATTCTGTATTCAGTATTGTAGGTAAACTATAGATTCATCTTCAAACTATCATAACTACCAACTATGGCTTTAAAATTGACAATACTGTTAAATCATCTCCTGTCTGAACATTAGAAAATATTGCAGGAGTATTGTGTTAAATAGTACAGAGGTAAATGGTATAAATATAGATGGATATTATATATGCGTTTCCTTCTTTGTGCTTTGTAGAAGCTGAAGTCTGAGCCAGACACTGAAGGGAGAGAGAAGTTGCCAGAAAGCCGCGCTGAAAAACAAGACAGGGTCTGTCCAGACCCGCCTACAGCATCCACCCCGAGCCCCCCAACCTCCAACACTACGGTGACTAATACCTCAGACCTCAACGACTCACGAGAAATCAACTTTGAGTATCTCAAGCATGTCGTCCTCAAGTTTATGTCATCCAGAGAAGCTGAAGTAAGTCCTCAGGGCTCTTTTTTTTTTTTTTTGTAACCCCTTTAGTTCAACAACTACATAGGCTGCATAAGTAAATAAAGCGTTCATGTGCAGCCCTGTAGGCCTGCCCTGGACTAAATGACTGACCCTGGCTCTGTTACACACCAAGTCTGATTCTGTGTGTCTTGCTCTGTCAGGCATACCAGTTAATACGAGCTGTATCTGTGCTGCTGAACTTCACTCGTGAGGAAGAGGACATGTTGAAACAAACTCTGGAGTACAAGGTTGGTGTTTCATTCACAGTTTAACACTTTATTTCAACACAGACCATTGTTTTACACATCCTGTATGTGTCAGTAGAAGATTTAAAAAGGTACTAAAGCTTTGTTCGTTGAATATTTGTGTGAAGTTTCACCAAAGTTAAGGGTGTTTCTGTGATCGGGGTAGAAAAGCCTTAAACATTTACATGATGGTTTGACACTGACCTTAGGGGGATTGGTCAAGATCAAGATATTTTCAACTTAATTCAACACTGTTGCTCAGAATGGACCTCGAGCAAGAACCCCAAACAAACAGACAGATGGATTCATATAAGTGGATCATACAATATAAAAACACTAAGACAAAAACACTTTGCAAACATTTCTCAAATATACCCCGAATTCGAATTCATATCAGACACACAGAAACTCCCCTATTTACTGGGAGAAATGCCCAGATGTGAAATAATTGCTGCAAAATATATCCCCTCGTGCCATGAAGTGAGGACCAGTGGAACCTCAGACTGACAAATAATTGTACAGATTTTCAAATTATTATTATTTTGATCGTTTGATATTTTAGTAATTGTTTTGTTTTTACATTTGACACTGATTTTATTTTTATTTATTTATTTAATTATTATTTTTTAATCAATTAATATAATTTATGTTTCATTTATTTATTTATTTTTTTTTTAATATATTTTTATTTTTTAACACACACACACACGCTTTCTGTTTTATTTATTTATTTTAATTTCAATATAATATTTTTTAACACACACACTTACTGTTTTATTTATTTATTTTATTTTTAATATATATATTTTTTTTACACACACACACACACACTTACTGTTTTATTTATTTATTTTATTTTTAATATATATATTTTTTAGCACACACAAACACGCTTACTGTTTTATTTATTTATTTTATTTTTAATATATAATTTTTTTAAACACACACAATTACTGTTTATTTATTTTATTTTTAATATATATATTTTTTAAACATACACACACATGATTACTGTTTTATTTATTTATTTTATTAAAATTTTTAATAATCTTTTTTTTTTTTTTTTTTTTACACACACACATACGCTTTGATTACTTTACGCTTTATTTACTTGTTTAATGAAATGTATGGGGTTGATTGTTGTTATGTTGTATGTATGATGCTTTGGCAATGTTGTTGTTCTTACAAATTCATGCCAATAAAGCTAATTTGAATTGAAGTGAATTGAATTGAATTGATCATACAGGTTTTGTGACTTGTCACATTCACCAATTTTCTAGTAAAAAAAAAAAAAAAAACTAAGCTGAAATCCTAGTGCCTTCATCTGAATGGATTTGGACTGAATAAATATGCTTCTAAAATGGGGGACAAATGTTATAAACTAATGTATATTCTGGTTACAATGTCAGTATAATGTGAATCATATTTGTATTTTATTGGCATGTTTTGGCATGACAACTTCAACAATTCAACCAATTCTCTTTAACAGCTGCAGCGGCAGGTGGACATCCTCTATTATAACACCTCACAGTGCAACATCACAAATAATACAACGTATACTCTTGCTTTTCTCCATCTTTTGCGTTCCCTTTACCACCTCCTAGGACCACCTAGGATAAGTACATGAAAATGTTCTTGTATTGGGGCCAATGTCTCTTCTGAATGAAACATGTATATAATTTGAGCTAGTTTCACTGGTAGCTAACCTGGTGGCTGGTGTTTTCTGTTCTAGATGTCCTGGTTTGGATCCAAGCCTTCTCCAAAGGGTATCATCCGACCTTCAGTCTCAGGCACTTCAACTCACTGGAGCTGATGAGCGGAAGCGATGGAGGGAAAGGAGCTAAAGGACCACCTCCAAGGGGAGGACGTTCTTCATACAGTCTACGGTTCTTCCTCTGTGTCTGAGAAGGACTCTAGCTTTCAACCTTGAACAGCCTCCCGCAGTTTCCTCTGGCTCTGTGTGGGAAGGACTGTTGTTTTCTGCTCTGTAGGGACAGAGGATGGGCTGCACACTATGTCTGAAGGATAAAGGCCTATTTATAATCAGTTGTTGATTTTAAAATGACTGGGATTTTTTTCCCCAATCATTAAGGCAGATGGACGTTAGACCAAATGTTATTTGACCATAAAATATTGGTAAGACACTGTATTCACACTGGAGTCTCAAGTGTCTCAAGTCTAATTTTTCTTCCCTGACATATGACTCAGATCTGATGTTTTCTAGCCCATGAAAACAGCAGAAAGTGAGTTGGCATGTAAGAAAACGAGACACAACATCAGAAAGAAATAACAGACTGTCTTGACTGTTATTTTAGGAACTGCCTCATTCCTACCTGATTCCAACTACACAAATTACACCTGTGTTTTTCTAGAACAAAAAGCATTGTGACTTGATGTGACTGTCTTTACTGGACAAATGGTACAGCCTTTGATTGCTGAAGGACCTTTTATCTTGTCACTTTGTTAATCTTCTATTTTAAATCAGAGGGCTTCTTAATGAAAATGTGTCATTTAATGACCTGTACAGGATACTGACGCTGATTCAGTTTCAGTGAGAGTTTATTTAATAGCACCTGCCAAATGGACATAAATTGTTCACATTTGTGTCAAAGGATCTAAATGTGTGATAAGTGACTTGAGTTTGAAGCCCTTTCAACCATCAACCATTTTCTTTGCTGTGATTGGAGTAAATTAGTTGTCTTTACCTGTTGAAATATTCATGATGGCATTGGAAGAAATCTGTTTACTATGTTTTGGTGCTTTGAAGTAAGACTACTTCACAAAGCTCAAGGGAATCCAGGCTGAGATTTCTGTCCAGTAGAAACCTCAAGTTCCAGAATGATCTTGAGAAATGAGAGTGCTGACATTTTTCATTTAGAGTCTTGATTAACTAGGTTGAATTTTAAAATCATCAAAAGTAAGTTGGAGTGTGTCTTTTAAAGAAAATTCATTGTTCTCATCTTTCCTTAAAATTTAATTGTCATCATATTTCTTACCACAGCTTCACTGAAATCGCCCTTACAAGCTGGTCTGAGCTAGAGCCCGCCAGTTTTATTACATGATGGTATATACAGAGTTTAAAAATCTGATAATGTCGGCCAATATATCTTTTTTTTATACAGATACATAAATTGTTTTGATAAGGATCCTTTAAATTTGGTGAGTACTTGGGACCAAGAGATCTACAGTCAGCAATATATTCTAGTGTAAAAATAAACTTGTCAGCGCTGTCTGGTAGACAAACAACGTAATGGTTTTTAAAATACTGAAAACATACTGTAGCTTTGGCATTTCTGGACTACTAATTTCTTGTTGCCTGTCTGCCAACATAAACAGATGCTGAAATCAGCGGGGCTGTAGTTCAACAGCTTACTTAAATGGGTTTTAAAACAGCTTGGCCATTAGACTGTTATTGTTACTATGAGTTGAGCCTCCCAGCAGACCTTGCACTCAAATCCTCCCTCTGTCACCTCGAGTGACGGAACCTAATCTAACCATGGCCCTAACCTAAACCACCTCTAAACTAAAACATTTGACTAGTAGCTTGGAAGTGCTGTTTGGAGGCTCAGTTCAGGGTAAAGAAAAGTCTCTATTTTCAGTTGCTGCTACTAGAGGAGCAACAATGGCTGGCAGAGCTGATACAATATGCACACAGACTGTTTTAGGTCCTTGAACACCAATATGAATGATTGAGACTATAGTTGTCCATTTTAAAAATAACAATGTGATTAAATAAGTGAATGCTATGTAAATGATGACTGGTGAACATGCTCTACCTGTACCTGCCTTTGCTAATGTAAATGAAAGTACATTCCACATGTTTATTTATATATCAAAATATGTGCATACTGGATGCATTGAGAACTGTATCAATCAGTGGATGTAAATGGTTTGATGTGAGGTCAGTTTGCAATATTTATCATCATCATAGACCAGAACTCATATATGTTTCTGACTCTGCTTGTCACTCAGTCCCACTGTCTTTCCCGATCCTCCTCGTTCCGTGTGATGTCAGTCACAACACAATGAATGGTTATTTTTAAATTAGTGGGAGGCCCAGGGAATCTGCATGCCTGTGGTTAAACTGCATTTTTGAATCCCTAAAGCAGCCTGAGAAGTATTTTACAATTCTGTTTGTTTCTAAAGGCCAGAGGATTCTGCGCTGGTATTCATGACAGTAATATGCAAACATTGTGAAGCAGAAATACATCAGGGTGCTGTCTGCATACGATTATCAGTCACAGAAGAAAAAAAAAAGTACTTCAGGTCAGTTGTTGTTTTTCTTGCTTTTGAAGTTGTATCTGCTCTGAATACATTTGTTTTATGTTGGGATGCAGGAGCTGTCATCCTCTTGTGTTACTAATAACCGGTAGCAGACTGATGTAGTCACCCACACTGGGTAATCTGCATCCATGAGAATCAAAAAAAAACAATGAATGCACTTTTTAATCTGATTGATTTTGCTGTGTTAAACCCTGAAACAACTGTACAATCACTACAGCTTTTCTGTCTTTTGCTTTTTATGATTTAACAATTGCTGCCACAACTTTCCGTTCCCACATTTATTAATAATAAATCTGAAATGATAAAATTACTTCTTCTGGCTCCAAATCTTGCATATTTAGTGAGAGGGAAATATATATACACTACTGTTCAAAAGTTTGGGGTTGCCATATCTCAGCCCGGCCAATAAAAAGAAAAGATTAGGGCTTAATCCGGGTACTGTTTATTGAAGCTGCCAGTTGAGGACCTGTAAACTGTCTGTTTCTAAGATTAGACCCTCTAATGTATTTGTCCTCTTGCTCAGTTGTGTCCCACTCCTCTGTCTGTTCTGGTTGGAGCCAGTTTGCGCTGTTCTGTGAAGGGAGTAGTACACAGCATTGTACAAGATCTTCAGTTTCTTGGCAATTTCTCACATGGAATAGTCTTCATTTCTCAGAGCAAGAATAGACTGACAAGTTTCAGAAAACAGATTTTTGTTTCTGGCCATTTTGAGCCTGTAATAGAACCCGCAACTGCTGATGCTCCAGATCAACTAATCTAAAGAAGGCCTGTTTTATTGCTTCTTTAATCATCACAACAGTTTTTAAGCTGTGCTACCATGATTGTAAAAGGCTTTTCTAATGATTAATTAGCATTTAAAAAAATTATAAACCTGGATTAACAAACACAACGTGCCACTGGAGCACAGGGCTGATCATTGCTGATAATGGGCCTCTGTAGATATATCCTTACAAATCAGCTGTGTGCAGCAACAACATTCTACATCAATAACAATGTCTACACTTTATTTCTGATCAATCTGATTATCATCTGACTATTATCTGATGTTATTTTAATGGACATAAATTTTTTCTTTTCTTTTGAAAACAAGAAATTTTCTGAGTGACCCCAAACTTTTGAATGGGTTCAAATATATAAAAATATTGAATTTTATTTATTCTAATATGTGTTTATTCATACTTTTATCAATACATGTTTTCTTAATGTGGTATTGGAACATTTAATTATTTGTGTTTGTTGCTGATATCTATAGGCCTAATAGCCTTTTTTCTGGTGTTTTGAGTTTTGTTTTCAGTTTAGGTGAAAACATTATCAGTATAGCCTACATACATTTTCCCATTTGCAATGTATATTCTATAATATTTTAATTTACCTTTAGAAACGACTTAAAATCCTCAGAGATTATGAAATGATATTCCCTTTTGATTTCTACGTTGTTTCTTTCTCCAAATTTGTCTTGCATCTTGATTCGGTTGCTTCTCCAACGCTGCGCCCATAAGTGGCGCTGTTTATGATGTCGATCTGAAATCCAGACCGAAGAAGAAGACATTTCTCCGGAAACTACTTTTTCTGAGCACGCGGTGCGTCCGGCCTTTCCAACAGGGCAGCGAGAGGGAACATGGTGAGGAGCTGACACTCGTCTGTCATTTATGTATTTTTTCACGTTTATCTCAACTAAACCCCATTAAAAATATATTATACGTGTACATAAGCTTCTCGGGTAGTTGTTTATGAATTTATCTATAAGTAGGCTGCTAACGGAATTGAATTAAATGTTATATTTCGGGTGGTACAGACCGACATTGCTAAGCGTAGTTGCTAACCGTAACGTTAAGCCAATGACAATATGGCAGGCTGTCGATAGCCTGCTTGCTATTATTGCTGGATAATGTTAACAGAACACACGTGCAGCCGATATTTCACTGTAAATACTGGTAGCAGATGGCTTGAATGATGTGAAGACGTGAAGTTATTGGTCTGCTAACTTTAATAACGTTAGCTGTGTTAGCTTGGCTGACTCGTGTCGGGAATAGGAGCTCCTGACAACGTTAAAAGAGCTGATGCTTCTCGAGCCGCTTGAGATGGCGTCTTTGAGTCTAATAATGTGATACGGTGGTTAACGAATGTCTTCTATCGTGGTCCAGGCCAAGATCAAGGCAAGAGATCTGCGGGGCAAGAAGAAGGAAGAGCTCCTCAAGCAGTTGGACGACCTGAAAAATGAACTGTCCCAGCTCCGTGTGGCCAAAGTTACCGGTGGAGCCGCTTCCAAGCTCTCCAAGATGTAAGTAACTTGCTGGATGAAAATGATTTATCAGCGCTAAGCCACACTTTCTTGCGAGTTGACCAGGTTGGTCCAGAGTTGACATGGCTGTTTCTGGCTATAACGTCGTGACATGTACAGGAGCTGTCTTCTGTGTGTGCAGAGCCCCACGGTTGATAAACATATATAAATGTGTTATGGCGTCAGTACTGTGCAAGGGTACTATCAAATGGTAACCAAACTAAAATACAAAGTTCACTAAATTATTGTAGCTAATAGGTTTGGATTTTTTAGGCTCCACACTGCCACTATAGAATAAGGATGAAAACCGTAACGTTAACTAACTTTAAAATTTACAAGTCATTAGAGGAATTAAACCCCTACAGACTGTCCGTTACATGTCTGCCTGGGACTTCAGATTTTCCTCATTGGTTCTCTGGTCAAAGATGATATTTGTTGAGCTGATGTTTTGCTGATGCATTCAACACTGCTTACCAAAAGACTGAGACTCGAGATGACCTGAATATTCCTCATAATCAATGGATATTTATGTACATAGAAAAATAAGGAGGAAACCTGTGCAAGAGGCAGTATGTTTAAAATTTCTTGTTAAAATTTTTAAAAGTCTGAGACTGCCAGAATTAAACTTCTGCAGACTAACAGTGGGCTTGGATCTTATTTATTTCTTTAATTGTGTACAACTCTACTTCTGAGGCTGATTTGTCACTAAACCAAAATCTGGGGTGCAAAAATCAGCTCCTGACTTTGTTTGTTCTTTGCAGCCGTGTTGTCCGCAAATCCATCGCCAGAGTCCTGACTGTAATCAACCAGACACAGAAGGAGAACCTGAGGAAGTTCTACAAGGTGAGAGAAAGCAGCCACCATAGATTGTAGCAAGCTCAGCTCCTCACTGAGCACAAACATGACATGTCTGTATGGAACTTCAAATTTTCCTCATTGGTTCTCTGGTCAAAGATGATATTTGTTGAGCTGATGTTTTGCTGATGCATTCAACACTGCTTACCAAAAGACTGAGACTTGAGATGACCTTAGTATTCCTCATAATGACTATTTACATAGACAGCGTTAATTTTATTTGACTTGGCTGTTTACTGGGAGTTGATAATTAATCAATAGTAGTAATGTTTCTATACCACACTGTAGAAAAGGCCCAACTAATGACTGCTTTTAATGGTGTAACATCAGTTTCCCTGCAACATTGAGCACTTGTCATGTTGCCACACTTTGTTTTGATCATTTACATAGTTACTCAGAAGGTGTTTGAAAATATACTGTGGCTGCATGAATATATTAGGATGACGGATGATGCATAAAGATGGTTTCCCAAGAAAACAGCATTCAGAACATGGCCATTAAGGGAAATTTGCATACTTACTGCTGGTTGTGGCACTTGAGGATGTAACAGAATGGAAGAGGTGGTCTGTAGGGCAGCTGCCTAAAAGTCTTTGTCATGGTATGCCAAGCAGATGGGTTGATTGTCTGCAGCATGTAAGTGCATGTCCTAACCCTAGTTGGAAAGATTCAGAGTGCTGTGATGTCCCTTTTCAAAGGAATGACCTACCTTCTGATGGTAGATGTGTACTCAGCTGGCCACCTACTAATGCAAATATGAAAATATATAAATAAATGTAGCAACAGATCATTGAAATAACATTATTGACATGTAAAGACTTCATGCTCACTCTATGACCTTGTGTTGATTTTATAAAATTATACCAAAGTATAATACTGAAGTCCACCTCTAGAAAATTTCAGTAACAGTTGTAGGTGTACCTCTTCCTGTCCTTCACTTCTCAGAGTTTTTATTCTGACAGCATGGTGTTTTCAACTCAACTGAAAGTTAATTTCCTTTCTTTCAGGGTAAGAAGTACAAGCCCCTGGATCTGAGACCCAAGAAGACCAGAGCTCTGCGCCGCCGACTCAACAAGCATGAAGAGAGTCTGCGGACCAAAAAACAGCAGAGGAAAGACCTCCTCTACTCCATTCGCAAATTTGCAGTCAAAGCTTAGAGGCTTTTTCTATTGATAAAATAAAATCTGTGTAAAAGACGAATCATTTCTTGCATTGTTTATCTGCAAACATATCTCACATTGATATTTGTTTCTATTGAAGCAAAAATCAGTAGTTCTCATTTACATAAGGGTTCTCCAGGGTTTGAGTTGTGTCCTTAAAGGCAACCCCCAACATCATAGGTGTCATTAGGATTTCAATGACATCTTCAAGTCCTCTTCAACTCTTTGAACAAGAAATGTGCTGAATTCTCAATGTAACTGTGGCTTTTAGCTTGGGTCAAATTTCAGACTGGTTTGTAAATCATTCGTTTGGACAACTAAGTCCAGTTGGAATACACTGCTCAAAAAAATAAAGGGAACACTTAAACAACACAATGTAACTCCAAGTCAATCACACTCCTGTGAAATCAAACGGTCCACTTAAGAAGCAACACTGACTGACAGTCAATTTCACATGCTGTTGTGCAAATGGAATAGACAACAGGTGGAAATTATAGGCAATTAGCAAGACACCCCCAATAAAGGAGTGGTTCTTCAGGTGGTGACCACAGACCACTTCTCAGTTCCTGTGCTTCCTGGCTGATGTTTTGGTCACTTTTGAATGCTGGCGGTGCTTTCACTCTAGTGGTAGCATGAGACGGAGTCTGCAACCCACACAAGTGGCTCAGGTAGTGCAGCTCATCCAGGATGGCACATCAATGTGAGCTGTGGCAAGAAGGTTTGCTGTGTCTGTCAGCGTAGTGTCCAGAGCATGGAGGCGCTACCAGGAGACAGGCCAGTACATCAGAAGACGTGCAGGAGGCCGTAGGAGGGCAACAACCCAGCAGCAGGACCGCTACCTCCGCCTTTGTGCAAGGAGGAGCAGGAGGAGCACTGCCAGAGCCCTGCAAAATGACCTCCAGCAGGCCACAAATGTGCATGTCTCTGCTCAAATGTTCAGAAACAGACTCCATGAGGGTGGTACGAGGGCCCGACGTCCACAGGTGGGGGTTGTGCTTACAGCCCAACACCGTGCAGGACGTTTGGCATTTGCCAGAGAACACCAAGATTGGCAAATTCGCCACTGGCGCCCTGTGCTCTTCACAGATGAAAGCAGGTTCACACTGAGCACATGTGACAGACGTGAGTCTGGAGACGCCGTGGAGAACGTTCTGCTGCCTGCAACATCCTCCAGCATGACCGGTTTGGCGGTGGGTCAGTAATGGTGTGGGGTGGCATTTCTTTGTGGGGCCGCACAGCCCTCCATGTGCTCGCCAGAGGTAGCCTGACTGCCATTAGGTACCGAGATGAGATCCTCAGACCCCTTGTGAAACCATATGCGAGACAATGCTAGACCTCATGTGGCTGGAGTGTGTCAGCAGTTCCTGCAAGAGGAAGACATTGATGCTATGGACTGGCCCGCCCGTTCCCCAGACCTGAATCCAATTGAACACATCTGGGCCACGTTTCACCACAGTCTGTCCAGGAGTTGGCGGATGCTTTAGTCCAGGTCTGGGAGGAGATCCCTCAGGAGACCATCCGCCACCTCATCAGGAGCATGCCCAGGCGTTGTAGGGAGGTCATACAGGCACGTGGAGGCCACACACACTACTGAGCCTCATTTTGACTTGTTTTAAGGACATTACATCAAAGTTGGATCGGCCTGTAGTGTGGTTTTCCACTTTGATTTTGAGTGTGAGTCCAAATCCGGACCTACATGGGTAGATAAATTTGATTTCCATTGATAGTTTTTGTGTGATTTTGTTGTCAGCACATTCAACTATGTAAAGAAAGGAGTATTTAATGAGATTATTTCATTCATTCAGATCTAGGATGTGTTAATTTAGTGTTCCCTTTATTTTTTTGAGCAGTGTATTTATTCTCTTTAAATGTTCCCCTATTTACCGCGGAGACAAGCAGGTGGTTTGGATTGTACGTTTCTGCTGTTTTAGAATGGCAGTGAAAGGATCATGAGTCAACGATGGCATGGGATGTATACCTAAAGCCAGTGTTTGTCATGATTAGAGGTTCTTGCAGCAGCTCTTGGACTACAGTATTAATTTCTCACTTTTCATAACAAAGTGGTGACTCCATGGTTGACTCAACAGACTAAAGGAGTGTGCTTAATCAGACTCTGCAGGAGAGCAGCATACTTCCATGTTGTTCAGTCCAAACATCAGAATAGTCATAACTCATTCAGATTTATGGAAATATAACACTGTTTTGTCATTTAGAACAAGTCACATTTCTTTTAACTCATCGGCAGCCTCGTTAAGTGAGTGGACTGTTTGTGTAGCCTAAATAAATGTTCAAACACAAGGGAATGCATTTGGTTTACTCTCTTTTCAAACGGGGGAATCCAAATTAGTACCTGCGCGTGTGTGTCCCCCTCCAGCCAGTGACGTCACTACTCAGGAGGGATGCCCATTCCTGCAGATCAGTCATAAAGGGGTGGAGCTCTGGTGCCCCCTTTTCTCCAGTGCACAAGCTTTGCGTGAAAGTTTTTTACCCACCAAACCACATGCTTCAGCTTCACCAAAAGGAATGTTGCTGTCACACTGAGTTAAATTTCTTTTTTGTAGAATTTGCCTCCTTTTCTTCCTGCAGTCAGTACTTATTAATATTAATGATGGGCGTTTCACTGACCATTTATAGGCAACTGTGGGCATTTGAAGGGTAGGACAAGGAGCTCCCTCACATGCAGCCCAGTTCAAGTTGATTGTGATTTATAAAAGGAACTTGCTTACAGATGTACCTATGCACGGTTTTATAAGTCTGAATATTTTTTGGCGTAGGCCCACGCCATTTTTGGCTTTTGGGCGCAGGTACACCTTTAGTGAGGTTTCTACGCACTGTTTTATAAATGAGACCCCAGAAATGACACATCCGAGGCCCTCAGGGAACGGGAAGGGACACTAAAAGATCTGCGAAATAACTTGGGGACAGGCCTTTCATAGCTTTGCAAGTAATAAATAACTTGAAATCACTTCTAAAAAACAACAGGAAGCCAGTGGAGGGAGGCCCGGCTCGGTGTGATCACATTTGTGATCCACGGCCCTGCCTTCTGTAACGCAGGCCAGAGGTTGCACGCCTGCGTTTTACTACTGCATTTGGAAAGACTGGGGGCCTTCGGAATGTCCGGAATGGCAATCACCTTTACTCTAATTACTTTCCTAACTTCATGGTGCTGTCAGCTGCTCCTTAGTTTCCTCACAAGTCGCAGGTTGTCACTGTCCTCTGCGCTGGTGCACGCGGTCACTATGAGCCTTCAGACTGTCTTCCTGGCGCTCTCAGTTTGTTTTAGCATGTTTTCCTCATCTCCCTCCACTCACCCGAATTCTGCTAAGTCAGGCTGCTTCAAAGTCAACAACTGCAAATGCATCATGAAGGATGGGAGCGGGGTGATAAACCTGAAAGCTATGGGAGATGCGGATGGTTTCCTGGGCCGTTTGAAGCCCGTGTCAGCAGAGGACATGCCGGAGAACAGCGCAGAGACGCTCCTGTCCTTCAGCCCCTGCCAGCCATTCTCACAGCCAGAAGACCTGACAGGAGCGACGGACTGCACTAATGTCGCTGCATGCCTCATCGTCAGGTAGAGCAGACACGAGTCAGTGCTGAGATTCACAACAGCAGGACTTTGTTGAACATATACTTTTTCAGAATGTTTCCAGCCGCACCTTCCTCCTACGTTTACACTTCTTCATGGTCCTGTGTAACTGTAGCCATTGTCACTTTGACCGTTAGGTCTCCCTTACCATAAGAAATAAAGGTTATTACGTAATTCACAGCACAGTGCTTTGAACAAGTGAGACACCTGCAATAATTCAGCTAAACCTTCTAAACATAGTCTGAACCAAATGTAAAGCAATTTTGATACCTGCTAAATATTTTAATAAACTGCTGACTTGCTAGTTATAAGGTAAGGCTGGCGAAATTAAAACGCTTGGTTACTGTCAACACTGACTTGTATCAGTTCCTCTGACTTTGTTACATGTAAAAGTCCGGTATTTAACTTTAGTAATGTACAGAAGAGCTATCAGCTCGATTTGCTTAAAGTACAAAATGTTGAGGACAACTGGTTTAACCTTTAATCGTTATATTTTATAAGATTATCACATATAGGCTAGATTTGAAACCGAGCAGCTGTTGAAAGAGTAGTGGCCACCAGGGGGCACCCCAACACACATATTGAAGATGCGAAGACTTGTGCTTTTATCATTATTGATTTGACACAGATTTTATTTTATCAATAGAAAAAGCCTCTAAGCTTTGACTGCAAATTTGCGAATGGAGTAGAGGAGGTCTTTCCTCTGCTGTTTTTTGGTCCGCAGACTCTCTTCATGCTTGTTGAGTCGGCGGCGCAGAGCTCTGGTCTTCTTGGGTCTCAGATCCAGGGGCTTGTACTTCTTACCCTGAAAGAAAGGAAATTAACTTTCAGTTGAGTTGAAAACACCATGCTGTCAGAATAAAAACTCTGAGAAGTGAAGGACAGGAAGAGGTACACCTACAACTGTTACTGAAATCAAGTATTAAACACTTTCCATAATAAAGAAACCATGGGTTCTTTGTTATTTTTTATTAAAATATTCTGTCACCGTGAACAGTGACAGGATATTTTCTTCACTAACTGTAGTTGATTGTGGTGCATATTTTGCAGATTGCAAAGATTATTTTTGAAAAAAAAGGGGGGGTGTTAGGGTAAGGAAGAGATGATCTGAAATTCTGTTTAGGACTCCAAAAAAGTCTGGCCCCTGGCCTTTACATACATGTCTGGGAGTATTGCAACTGCTTGTTTTTTGGATTGAAGTCAACATTGAGCCTTCAGTAAACATGCTATCATCAACACATATGAGATTGTATCCTTTACATACCTTGAAGGTGACTCAAACAGTCAAAGAAGTCCTTGTTCTTTTTTTGTGTTATTTTGTTTATAGGTATCACAGGCTCAACAGACGCTTTATCAGCTATGGAAAACATGATGGGAATGAATTTCTCTACAATGACACTGTGAAGATGCTGTCTGTCTCATATTTTTGTGAGTTGCAACACAAAACTTACATATAATTCACATCACTGATCAATTTGTCACTGTAGTGTGATGACCTGATAGCCAGTCTTCTTCTCCTGTCCCAGCTCATGGCGAGCAGCCGCTGACAGTTGTTCATTACCACTGTAATCCAAATCAGTCCACTTCTTTTATCCGGGACCAGAGCCTCAGAACTGAGGTGCCCCTGCAGATCTGGGTGGAGAGCCCCTGTGCTTGTCCAAATGCGTGTGCCATGGGGGATCTAGGTGTAGGCACCATCTTCCTCATCATCCTCTCCCTCAGTGCTGCTGCATACTTCATCCTTGGTAATGCTTTGTCTTCTTTAACCTAAATAATGCCAGTAAAGTGTAAAAATGAAGGGAGTAAGGCTCATATCACCGTCTGGGCCCCTACAGTCTACAGACTCAAGTGTTTTTTACACAGCAGCATAGAGCTGCAAGAACTATACTCAAGGTTTTACTGTTTTTAGAGCATCACCCAGTCGTGGGGCCAAAAATGTGAGTAAGTAACTTTATTTATATAGTTCATTGCAAGAGCTCGATGTCACAAAAGGAAACAGGGCAAAGGACAGGAATACAGAACAATAAGACCACTCGTCTTCAGGATGATGTTACAGAACACAATGTGCAATCACCAAATTAAAGGCTTCTCCCTCTGGGGGCATGAACGGGGAAGTGATCATTTACTGTAGGTGTAAGAGTAGGTTAGAGGAATGGCCATGTGGTGATGAAGATTAAAATAATTGGTGCTGAGCAACCCCAGTTGACTTTGACAATACAGTATATTCAAATGGAAATCTAATGGCTCTTGTGAGATTAGAGGAAAGATCCTGGTATCATAGAATTATAACTAAATTAGAGTATTTGTCCTTTACTTGAGTATTTCCATTTTATACTACTTAATACTTCTACTAAACTAAATGGATCTGACAGCTACCAGTTGATGTACAGATCAAGAGTTTACATGCCATATCATCATCAGCTTATAAAATATCATACATCATTTTCAGTTTAACTTCCCAAAATTATGTAAAATAGTTCAAAGGAGCTTCTTCTTGAGCAGTTGCAATATTAAAAAGCTGCTACACATTAATGCATCAGTATTAATGATTCAATATAGCAATGTTTAATAAAACACTGACGGAATCCGTTATACATTTTACTTTTAATACTTTAAATACTTTAAATACTCTAAATACTTTAAATTCTTTAAATACTTCAATTTTGCTGATAACCCTTTATGTAACATTTTGAATGCAGAACTCTTGCTTGTAATGGAGTATTGCTACTTTTACTTATGTTAAGGATCAGAATATTTCTTCCACCACTTTTTGGGAACCACAAACATCCAAAGAAGATTTTGGAAACATTTGCCCAGTAGTTTTTGACACAGTGTGTCATGTACCAAAGTGTTGCACAGACAGACAGAGCCACCAGCTCATTGCTTACCATCTTATACACCTTCAAATTCAACAGCCACTATGTCACTTTTGACCGTATGCTCTGCCACAAGCCAACCACAGTCAAACAGTCTGCACAGATGGCACTCCAGCCAAACAGACTCAATAATTCCTCATTTTGCTGGATAGGCCTACCTTCAATTTATTTTTATAGTCTAGCCAATGTTTCTGTTTATGAGTCACATTGATGGGGTTTGGGCTGACTAGCATGCATGTAGTTTGGTATAACTACCAAGAAATAACAGAACAGATGAAAACAGGAATCATATTAATAAAAAGCATTGTAAGACAAACAAGAGATACTAAGTCAAAATGAAGTGATCCTGGTGGAAATGGACTTCCAGGAATGACAGCTAGAGTGAGCTAAACACACAAAGTTTCAGTCAGATTCCTTTTCTGCTTGACTTTCACCTCCCCTCCATTCTGCCGACAGGCTCCTGTGGTCTAAGGCCTTTTCGGAGCAGCAGTGGAGTCCTGATCTCTCCAGAGCGCAGTGTGTGGTGCATGATCTGCTACCTCTGCACTGAGAGACGGCCAGAAAGAAGACACTGTACAGACATGGCACGCTGTGAACAATAAGCAGCTGCACACCTCTGGACCACTGCAGGTAGTCTCACTGTGTGAAGTTTTTTGATCTGAAGCTGTCATGTCCCATGGAGGGCCCGGAGCCAGTGTGGTTCTGTTTTACAATTTGCTGAAAGTGAAAAGTTCCACACAAATTCAAATTTTTTTTTTAATGTCATAGTTACAAATAATGTGTGCATGGAAGCAGCATCAGTATCCTCAGTGGTCGTTACAGTCCTAAAACATGCTCAAATACTTAAAAAAAAAAAATTGTATCCCTTTAGTCATATTTGTTGAATTACCAATAGTTTAACTTTTGTACATCTTTTCCTTTCTGTTCACACGGTCTCTGTATTTTACATTCTTTACCTTTACAGCTACTTTGCTGTCAAATATTTTTGCAATATTTCCTTTTTGGTTGCTCTCCTGTGTGCCCCAGTCTTGTCTCTGTATATGTTCCTGTTGTGAGTTTTATTTTGTTTCTCTTACTACTTTGTTTTTTCTCAAGTGGCCCAGCAGTACATAATTATATACTCTTATTTTCCTGTGCCCCCAGACTCTATTGTGGGGTAGTTTTATTTTGGCAGACTCCCCAGCCTCTCGTTATGGAGCCTCCATTTGTGGACAGTTGCAGACCTTATCAGCAGAGGCCTGTTTCCCCATCGCTCTTTTCTGTTCTGCCCACGTGGATGTTCTTTAGGGGCAAATTGGCTCCATCTGTTTTCTGCTCTGAACTCTATATGCTTCACATCTCAGCTGTGCTCAGAGTCCTCCGGTGTGATGTCATCAGAAGGTGTGCTGTGGAGCGCCGGGTCCTGGCTGGTCTTGACTGGTGTGTGAAGGGTTTACATTGTTTGGTTTGACCTTAGATTCCTGAGCGCTGGTCTCCTCTGCTAAAGTCCTGCAAGGGGCACAGATACATAAGATGCAGTGAGTCAAGACCCTAAACACATCCTAACTTTTGAAAGCTTTCCCCTCAGCATCCAGTCTCACTCTAAACATGTAATGGACCTATCTTTGTACAGCACAGAAATGACTCTGTAAGACAACAAACAAGAGGAGTTCCCAAAATGTCGCTATGTTCTTTTAAAGTTGGGCATGTACTGATATATAAAAAAAAGTCATACTATCATTATCTTGTTCTGAATTACATTGGTATTACTTTGGTAAAGAATTAACCTTTTTAACAACTTACATGCGACTCAAAAACTGAAACACAATTTTAACATAGATACCTTCAAATAGTGGAAGTTCAACTATCTGTCATGGCTGAAAAAGTATTTAATGACCCAGAGGCTTTTCCTCTAGTCACACGGGGAAAACTTTACATAAAGAAATTGTAAATCATCATCATGTTTTTCTTTTCATACACCATCCTTGTAATGAAATGTGTAGCCCTAAGGGCCACTAGTGAGGCCTGAGACATTTGTTCTTGTGTCCTGACAGAACACATAATGATATCTTTATTGTCTGGTCCCTATTTGTAGTAATAATCCTAATGTTCATGTCTAATTTGGTAGTAGTGTGCTGACTGCAAACAGTGATATTTAAATGTCCATATAATAAATCTCTGTTTAACTTATGTGAGTTTATGTGATATTATTTCGATATATCTATGAACGTAAAATTTATCTCAAACTACATTTAGGGGCAGCACAACAAGCTGTAAACACAACACTGACATGTTATCACCTTATAAAGTTGCACCTTTACACATCCAGCAGACATGGAGCAACATTAGCATTCATCTGGAGTTGTGTTTCTGTCTGGTATTTACTCTCATTTTAGCTCTGTTTTGGGCTCTATATGTCTCTTTAGCTGCTAAAAGCTCCTCTTTCTTCACCAGCTGTTTGGTGCTGGGCAGATAGTGTACAGTCGGTTTATCAGAACTTTTTTTTTTACTGAAAACAGCTGCCTGATGCTGCACGTAACAGGGTTAATAATATACATTAATGTTTCATGGGAGTCTTTTTCACTGAACATCCTACAACTTCATCTTCTTTGGCTTTTTTGTTGCACGGATTGATTCCATGGATATAAGAGATCCCAGTTAGATCCAGTTGGCATGTCTTTACGTGCACTGCAGTTGTTCTAATTGCTTGGGAAAATATTTTTTGTCTCCCCCACCCTCAAACTGACATCACTTCTGAGACCTGTTTTTGAAACTCTGTTCCAGTTTCTGGAAAGAAGGGTGAAAACCATAGATGTGACGTGAAAGACATTATCCAAGGAACAGAAGATGAAAATGATGCAGATGGCTGCTCTGCTATGACTCGCAACAGCCTCCACGACCCCAAACACCACCACTAACAACTCATACCTCATCTCCTCAGTCTCAGGGTCCTGCTCCTCGTCATAACAGAGTGATGAAGGCAGATACAGATGGAGTTCTGAAACCTTTGCGGCGCCGGGCTGTCCATAAGGAGCCTGCCTCTTATTGTCGCAGGGGGTTGTGGGAGTTTCTGCGAGGAGAGCGAGTCACGGTCAGAGATGCAGCTTTGAATGCAGTCACATTTATGCTGCAGATGTCATTTGCAGCTTGCCAATAATCTAAACGCTATGATCTGGGGCCGGATGATAAATGGAGCATAACTTCAACAACTGTGTCTGCTTATCACTCAAGGATATCCAAAAGGCAATTACCCAAACTGCAGCAAAAACATACACTGCCCCCAATCCAAATAACATAGAAAGAATGCAAAACAGAGAAACTTTCATGTCAATTGGCAATGAAATTGGATTATTTGTTTGAGTCACCAGAAATAAGAACAGCTGTTTCTGCCCAAAGCCAGAAGAACTCATATACGCATGTTGTCTGAATATGATTATGGAGATTTGCAGTCAGTTGGAAGCTGTCATGCCTGTGTGTGTTTGTGCGTGTTGATCAAAAATGCTTTTCAAGTGGTTAGCATTGTGAGTAAACAGCAGCTTCCGTCCCCATTATGAAAGGTAAGAATCCACATTACATTTATCTGACGCTTTTATCCCCCCCCCAAAAAAAGATTGCTATACACATCAGAGGTCACACACCTCTGGAGCGACTAGGGGTTAAGTGTCTTGCTCAGGGACTCATGGTGGATGTCTCACAGTGGGAATTGAACCCAGGTCTCCCACACCAAAGGCAAGCATCTTATCTATGCACCATCACCACCCAGATTAATTCCTGATAGAGTTAGACTAAACAGATGATAGAATTTTTAAAATCAAAAATCTGATCATGGTTTTGGTTTAATTAATTATAACTGTAGCATGTATCAGTACTACACTGCTTATTTGTAATAAACCTTAATATGAACAGACTCTGGATATTTAGATCAGATTTAGATGCTTTAAGTAAGCATGGATTCATTTTGTTTTACATGGTTTAACATGATGTCTAAATTGGGTAAGTCCTCAGTTATCTATCTATACAGCCATAATAAAGGTCTTATTTGGTTTGATTAGCAGTGCAGTTTCCATGTTGATGAGCAGGTGTTAAGCATGAATTTTCCAGTATAATGAAGAAAGGATTGTTAGAAGGAAACGGAACATGAAAACTGGTAACTCAGCACATCCAACCTTCATCTTTGAACAAATGGAATAAATGATCAACAGAGTAATGAACCAAGTTGTGGTTCCCATGCTGTCTACTAATACTGATTCATCAGTCAGCATAGAGGCTACATGGAAATCAACATTTATGATTAATTCACCTGCTGCGCCACTGACTGGATCTCTGTGATGGCACACAGTGGGAGTCTGGAACAGGAATTCTGGGGTCATCTCAGGTCTGCTCCCAGTCCTGAACCTTGATGCGAGTTTTGTTCTGCTCTCCAGCCTTCCCTTGAGACTGCTCAGCAGTGTCAGGCTCCCATCTACCCCATTTCTGCTCTGTGGTGTCACCCTGTGTGTCACCCTCCCACTGCTGGGCCTCTGCTGGAGGGGACAGCAGAACCCCTGTACTATGACAGGAATAACAATGAGACAATTACATATTTAAACATAGATATATTTGCCTCCAGCAGTGGCAATACTGACAACTTGTGAAGTTGAAATGATATGAAACATGACATAAAATGACATAACATGAAATTAACTGGCACGTCATAAAATGACACAACATTAAATTAAATTACACAACTTGAACTAAAGTGAAACACACAACACTTGAAATTACATGACATGACACAAAACAAAATGAAATGACACGACATAAACTGACTTGACACAAAATTAAATGGCATGGCTTGAAATGACAAGGAATAAAATGACACAAGATGATACAACAACTTTAAATGCCAGCATGTCATGGCAGAACATAATTGTATGCCATGTCATGTAATTTGTGGGAAAGGTGACAGACAGCATGTAGTCACCTTGCAGGCCAAGGAGCTCAGAGCCTCTGGAGGAAAGCCCTGTGTCTCCATATGGTTGCGGTCTCAGTGGAAGCAAAGTGAACGCTGTGCTCTCATGAAAGGGTTTAGACTGAAAGTTCCTCCTCTGCTCGCTGTGGACATACATGCTTTCATCTGCACCACACCCTGGTTGACGCTTCCTCCTCTCATTCATCACACATCCAACATGTTTTTCTGCAAAGACAGATGGTGCACAGTCAGTCACAGTGTGTGTAGTATACTGACTCACAATATATTCATTTAATGAGTGTGTGTGTATTGTTGAGTTTAAAGGCAATACATTGACCTGTTTTATAGGAACTGGTATGGATTTTAAACTTCTGATTGTGACATTTTATAAATGGGTGTTCCCTGTGTTCTTGGATTTTGGAATATGGCATGAATGTATTACATAAATTAAAAACTTCAAAGTATGTCTTCAGAATCTGTATTGAATTTATTGTCATGGAGCTAAAACATTCCTAAAAAAATATGCCTTTGTTTGCATCCACTAAGTGAAACCAGAGTTTATGTTTGATTCAGTATGTTCACATAATGTGTCAACCACATGGCCTGGCGTAAATATTCCTCACTCTGCATACAGGAAGCTTTTCCTGGTAAATCTGCAACTATAGAGCTTTTACATTTTCCCATTATTTGGTGTTTTAATGATGATGATGGTGGACAGCACTGTCTTACACATCACCATAATCAACTGTTTATTTGGGTTATTTGGGGTTGGTTGGTAGTTGTGAAGGCCTTAGCATGATTCACATTCATATTTTCATTCTCAAACTCTCAGTGTTTGTGTCAATATTGAGAGGTGTTGATAATCATTATTGCAGAATGTGTTTTGGCTTTTTTAAAATTTCCTCCTTCACAATGTCCCCTCTCATAATTTCAAATTTCCTCATGGCTGGCACCTGACCATGTCCCATGTACGAACCAGTGTCTCCTATTTGAGTTTGTCCAGGGACCTTTGTTGTCTTCCTGTCATCTCTCAGAATCTCTTATAAAGACACAAAAATGCTAATTTCAGCATAGTCATCTAGAAAACCGTTCTGTTTTTTATATTGTTTTAAAATTGAGTGATAAACACTTCATATAAAAATCTAGAATTGGCAGAAGTGCTTTAGTGTTTAATTTTACAGAAACACCAAGGTTGTATTTGTGCATGCTGGGCATGTCTCACCGCAGCTTTATGATAAATGCAGTTTACGGTAGCCTATATGTGGCTGAGAGAAGGTAATTCTGAGCTTGACAAAGATTTTATGCACCACATAGTGCAGCTGCAGGGACTGATTATCTTAGTTTCCCTATAAGAAGTTGATGGTTGTTTTAAAAAAGAAAGAAAAGCTGACAATGTCAATGAAAGCCACACCACATTATTCTGGGGGCAGGAAATTTTGATTGAGGAGGTAGGGGTAAACAAGGCCTTATGACTGTTGACTTATTGTACAGACTGTAGGATGTTTTGAATATAGCTTACTGTGTGTTGGCTTGTTTGCATACCATGATAACACCAAATTTATATTTGGCTTTGGTTATGAACGATAGCTTGAAGTAGGTTAACATTTTTATCTAATCAAATACCATTTCTCACTGGCATTTTGTAACAAAAGTCATGCAATATGTGTGTGTTCTGTAAAACCCTCTAAATAACTCTCTGTCTGCAAATAACAGCTTTTTACTCCAAAACTTTCAGTGGATCAAAATTCACACCACCTAATTGTTGCTAATGAGTCATGTTAAATTGTGGCTAAAGGCTCAGCTTCCAAAGCCAATGCAGAGTCTCCCCTTCTGAATATAGTTAATTATCTGCATCTTTGCATATTCTCTAAAACACACCTTATAAAAAATCCTTTCACTTTAGATTTAGTTTTGTTGGGTAGGCCTATTTGGCATTAGAACCACCAAATATTCAACAAGATCAATACAACTTTGTTTGTCCATGCAAGGGCAACGGTTTGCTGCAGCTTTCTACCCAGTTGTACACACAACAAGTAAGAGAGAGAAAAAATATAATCACAGGGCTAAAATAAGAAAAGGCTATGAAACTGTACGTAGAAGTTTGGAATAAATACATAAATAAATAAATAAAAATATTTGCATTACAAATCATAACAATATTAAGAGTGTACAGCCACGATAGTTTTGAGCTTCAGCACGCTAACATGCTCACAATGACAAAGCTAACATGTTTACCATGTTCACCATCTTACAGTGGTTTAGCATATTAGCATGCTAACAGCTGACAACTATGGTTGATAATTAGCACTAAACACAAATCTTCAATACAGCTGAGACTGTACTTTGACCTGCTGGTGGTGCTAGAGGGAAAGTCAGGGGATGACCAAAGACATTAACATTTATTTTTCTTGGCAAGTCATACATTTGCTGTCAAGGTTTTTCACTAAATGCGAAAAATGTCAATCTGCTGGTGGTGACTGTAGAAAAGGGGATCACCAGAGTAAGTAGGATTCATGGTCTGTGGACCATAAGTGTTTGTATTTCATGACAATCTATCCAGTAGTTGTTGAGATATTTCAGTCAGTCCAAAGTGGAGGACCAACTATCCGACTGACCGACATAAATGTAACTTTTTGTACAACCTTTTTTTCAGCCCAGCAGCCCATACATGGTCATCAAACTCCCTGCAAAAATCTTGTCAAAAGCACACAATGGGAATTAAGCACACAGACTGACTTACAATACGTGTGTACTCCTTTTGATTACCAAACAGTTGGTCAGTATAGTGTTGGATTGACTGGGGCTAAACTCTGTGTGTAGTCTAAGAGGACATGGCAGACGTTTCCTTCTATCCTGGGACATTACTACACAACAGTTCACACAGCCTGACATATTTTTAAGGAAAACAGAAGGCACACACCTCTGGAACTGATTCGGCCGTTTTGTTTCAGTGACTTGGACATGCAGGGTTATCAACAGCATTTTAACAGAAAGCATGTGTGTGTGGTTACGGTTACAGTTCATTACACTGCCTTTCAGCAACTCTCCCACAATGTTTAAAGTTCTGTGGCTGCTCTTACCTGCTCTCATTCACACATTCAAGTCTTTAAGCAGGGCTCCCTGTGGAATCATATATGCAGAGTTGAATGAAATCCCATTTTGTAATGTTCCTCCATAAATGGATCCACACCCAAACGCTGATTTTAACAGCAGGGCTGTTGCTGTAGACAGACTCAGCTGTTGCTAAGGGGCCGTGAGCTCACTCTCTGGGTTTGTTTGTGGTTGGTAGGGGTGTTGGGTGGGTAAGGTGTCATAGTTCTCTACTGTCATGGTTACAAGCTTTGGTTTGTGTGACACAATGGCATTATGGTTGATATTTTAACAAGGCTCTCATGGGATGTAAACTGCTCTGGACATGTGGATCTTCATCAGTGTTGAAGATCCACATGTCCAGCTCAACAGTGTGCTAAGAATGGTGTTAGTAAGTGTATGTTCACAACCAGCATGAGTGATTTATTTGACTTTGGGTGTGGATCCTCCTTTTCCTTGGGTCATTTGGTGGGAACAGTGCTGTTGGAACATGGCAGCAGCAAATAAATACATTGAAATGCCTATCAGTCCTCTGCCAAGAGAGCTGTGGTGCAGGTTGTTAAAGAGTGAAAATGAAATCCAAACCACCTGCAGTAAACTGCAAACTATACTCAAATGCAAAGTTTTATGGGTAATAAAGAGAAGGACACATTCAAGCAAGTCAGGTATTGCAAAATTAAGTCTCGACTTAACTCATTCACATTATGTGTTCTTATCTTATCTGATATAAACACCAGAGAAGAAGAATTATTATTAGATTAGATTTGACTGAAATCTCCACAGGTTTCCACACACAAGTCCTTGTTAACTATCGAGCCAAATTCATATGCAACAATGATGATGCAACTTTTATACTATGAGTTAAACTACAGACTACAAAGTGAAAGTTATTGAATGTATCAACCTAATACACAATGCTCATTTCTGTGCTGTTGCTGACTGTTGTTGGTTATTTCACAATTTAAACGTGATCTGAACCACTACGTGGTTGAATAACAAGCATGTTGGTTAACTAACTATAATACCTGCATGCTTGTTTAGCATCTCAAGTATTTCTCTCAAACTTAGGTATTGACATTACTAAATAACTACAAGTTTACACTTGTAAAGAGTTTACACTCAAAAACTCAACTAATCTACTTCATCATGACTGTGTGGATGTGGTTTGATCAGATTTGATCGAACTGAACAACCTGCAAAACTGTGATCAGATTTAGATCCAGATGTTGCTAAACCCTGGTTGGTGTCCACTTTAAACCCATGAAAAGAACACAGATTAAAAAAAAGACATACAGAAATTTCTATTGTGAATGAACCAAAAATGTTCAAACTCACTAATAGTAAATATGTTTTCAGGGACTTTAAATGACCACTACAGCAATTTATTCATCTCTATAAAATTGGGTGAGTTGAGACAAATAAATTAAAGAATGGTCAAAATCTGGGCATCAGACGCCAATATATACTGAACTTTATTCCAAAGTGAATCTCCAAAAGCACTGGCTCTTACTGTTCCCATAATGAAAATCCATAACATTTCTGCATTGTATTCCCCAGGAGTAGTAAATTTGTTTTGACACAGAAAATCAATGCAGTTTCACTTTAATTGAACAGAAACCTTCTCAAGCAACAACTGTTGAGTTATGAAATGCTGTGTATGCTGTGCTGTGTCGGGACTAAAGAAAAATGTGTCAATAAACGTCAGTCAGTTCAAGTCATTCATTATGCTTCATTGCTTCAAAAGTTAACTTTTCATAATGCTCTATAATGTTTAAGGGCACCTTCGTAATATTCATGTGGCAATGATGAAGTATGATCATACTACTAGACAAAGAATACAAAATGTTTATGTTTATACATTTTGCATGAGAGCAAACAAGGTATAGATGAACATTATGGTTCTTTCTTTTACTGTAATACATGCAGAGTGTGGTTATGGCTTACAATATAAAAATGATAACACATTTAAAAGGCTTAAACTGTATTTTTACGCAGACTTTTCTTTTTAATGCAATAGCTTCAGGAATTTTATTCATGGTCATGTTTAAGTGAATACCATCATTAAAGATTAGAAAAAAGATCTATTGAAGGCAAGCTGGAACCCACCCAGTCAAAATTTGAATGTGTATTTTTTTTTTATTATGAAAAAGGCATACAACCTGTAATTTATTGTCAAAAGCCCAAACAATAAATGTTGTGCAGTATTTCAATCCAGGCATGCATGAATATAAGCTTCATTCAAAAATGATCTGTTACAAAATAAATACTGTATCTAATATTGCAAATGTAGATTTATTTATTTTAAACTACTATCCTATTTACGAAATCCAAATCTCCACTGGACCGCCAGGCTCCGCAGTGGCTCCAGCTGTTGCAAGGACATGTGTGAAGCAAGTGCAAAGCCACCACAGGGAGTGGAGTTTGTATGTCCACTGACCCACGTGACCTCTATTGTACTGTGGACAGTAACAACACACTGGCTCATGAACCCAGCACTGTTAGCCATGGGAAATAATTCAAAAGATGAGTGACTAAAACAAAAGGTCATGCGTGAGGAGTCAGCTTAACATTACTCAGTGGATTTGGGGCTCCTCTGTGATACTTTTATCACCACGTCATACTGATTTAACTTAAAAGGAGGACAGGTGCAGAAAGAATTCATACAGTCTGCCCTGCGTCTGTATTCCCTTTCACCTGCACTCGGAACTGAATCCATCAGAGGAGGGTTTGTGGCTTTCATGGGCTTCTGTCTGTTTTCATTTACACACCATTTACATCAGCAGCATGGGGCTCACTTTTTTAGATGATATCCAGGTGAGATCTGTTGCAGAACACAGAAACTGAGCTGACAGTACAGCCACCATTGTCCATGAGCTGGCTTTATTTTTTGACCTCTGTCAATCCAGGGAGTCTGTCAAGTTATGCACATGTGCATCTACTGTGGGAGCTGTTATTATTTTATTGCCCCATTAGTGACATAAGGTTCTTAAAGTCATGATGTCTGTGCATTTGCCCTTTTTTTCTCCATCAAAAACCTCAGTCCTGAACAAGATATCTCAACAACTGCCACTACTGCTGGTGACAGTCATGGTCTGCAGGCGATGAACTGTGATATTTTTGGTGACCCCTGTCCTTTCCTCTTTCCCAAATGCAAACATTGATGAGCAGAGCAGCAGTTGACATTTACAGACCACATTCATGCTTCTCAGAGGATGAAACCTTTTCATTTTGGACTCACCATGAGCTTTCCTCTATCATGAGAATAACGAGATCAAGAGTCCACAGCCATGTTAGCTCCTCTGTGGGGCTGTACTTAGGTACAGCGGACCTATGAGCTAAATGTTAATGCCAGCATAGTTATGGGAATATTTTATTATCTTTATTAAAGAGTGTGGTCTTTCTATTTGAGAGCTCTCAGATTTCTCTTGGATTTTTTGTGCAAAATCCACCAACCAATATGCAGAATATACTAGAATGCCAGGTGTGGTGCTGAACAATGAAATTATCCCTGCCGAGTTTGCTTTACTTCTTAGAGCTTCGTTTCGTACACGTGATTACTTCAACTGGGTTCATCCACTTCCACCCTCCATGGCTTTATTATATACTTCCCTTGCTTTATTTACAGCTTTTTTAAAGGACAGTTGTGCCGGTACCTTTAAATATGATAACTATAATAGCTACATAATGAAATTACACTCATTTTGATAGGTATAGTTAATAATTAGCTTGCGGATAGAGTTTTTAACTTACAGCAACAGCATGTACATGTGTTAATGCTCCAACCTAATCAGCTGCTACAACATTCTGTGAATGCATCAGAACAAAAATCCAATTATAGTGGTGATTCTAGATAATGAATATTCTAGTCCCACATTAGATTTTACATTACAACTCCATGAGGCTCTAAGTAACTAACAGTAAAATAATCAGTGAGTGCACTCCTTTATAGTAGAGTGTAATAAAAATTGCAGCCTCACGGTGGTGTTAGCATGTCTTTAGACTTTCATTTTAATTTGCTAAACCCAGGGCATGCGGCTTTGGAACTGATTCAATGAGGATGTTTATGTTTAGCACATTCGAAAATCAGTCTCATCTACAACATAATAATAGAAAGCATGTGTGTGCACTTTCCACAGGCCTTTGGGGACAATGTTTCACATGACCTTTCACCACTGCTGCCACAAGCTCTGCGCTATTTCTTACCTGCTATTAACTAGTTCAGGCAGCTGGATGTTGAGCAGCTCCACTGGCGCAACAGCTGAGATAAATGCTCTGAGTAAGACGACTCAATAACGGTTGTTGAGGGATGAGATGCCATCACAAACTGGTTTTCAAACCATCAGTCTTCTGCTTCGTTCTGTAATCATAATTTGATGTATTACTGTAAAAGGAAACTTTAATTATCCCTGTGGGAAAATTGGTTTGCTGCAATAATAAAAAATCTTCTCTCTTATTCTCTCACCCCACCAGCCTCCCTAACCCAATCAGTCCCCCATTTCCCTATCTAAAAATACTTCTTTCTTTCTATATTATCCCTGCTAAAGCTCTTCTTGTCCACTCTGTCTGTCTGGTACCAACTCTTTGGGAAACCCCTTCTCATCCACAACTTCTCTCCCTACTCAAATGCCATTATTATAACACAATACACACGGCAATTTATTACTTTAACAGCTACATTTCCCCTCAATTTGCTCTCTTATAGACCCCAAGAATGTTCACGAGAGTCTTCACATTCATTGAAGCAGTAAGGTAATGGCTAGAGACAATGGTAAAGAATGTGGGAGTTTCATCTTAAAGTAAGCCAGAAGCTGCTAAAATTTCATTTTGAGGGGACTTCATATCGTGTTAAGAGAATTGTATTTTGTGCCCCATTCATTTCCCAAGCTACCATGTTTGGGGGCTCATAGAGCATGAGCGTTAGAGTCCTTCTCTGGCTGACTTTCTGCTAACTGTATAGTGGGAAAATACACTGCTCAAAAAAATAAAGGGAACACTAAAATAACACATCCTAGAAATAATCTCATTAAATACTCCTTTCTTTACATTGTTGAATGTGCTGACAACAAAATCACACAAAAACTATCAATGGAAATCAAATTTATCAACCCATGTAGGTCTGGATTTGGACTCACACTCAAAATCAAAGTGGAAAACCACACTACAGGCCGATCCAACTTTGATGTAA